TTCATTTTTTAAGGCTGGTTGTGTGGTGGTGAAGCACTTAGGTAGGAGGCCCACCATCACGCTACCTACTCAGTTCTTTAAGGAGGTATCCAGAGGTAGAGAGCTCTGAGCAGAGCCCAGAAGTGCTGTTGGAGGAATCTGCCCCCTCTCCCCCTGCGCTGTGTAGGCTTCCAAAAGAGCTGGACCCCAGGGGGCCTGCATGTTCTCTTTCTCACTCCTGCTCCTATTGGGTACTTTTGCTGTTGCTGTTCTTGCTTCTGAGTCAGTATTGCAGAGGGCATGGCAGCAGAGATGTTTCCTTTAATGAATCAACTATGACCGACTTGAAGCTTGTGAAGCAAAGTTAACCCAGTCAGGATCCTAACAGGGTTATAGCATTACATCTTATTTTAGTATGCTGACTTACTCTGCTTTTCCCCAGGTGCCCTTTAAATAACCGGCCTTGGGCTCAGATGGTGGGTGGTACTTGGTAGCTCAACTTCTATGTCTACGAATAGTTAAAAAGAGCGGGTTTGACAATGTGCAAAGTCGCTTCAGTCGTGTCCGACTCTTTGCGACCCTATGAACTGAAGGCCTCCAGGCTCCTCTGTCCATGGGATTCTCCAGGCAAGAATACTTGACTGGGTTGCCATGCCCTCCTCCAGGGCATCTTCCTGACCCAGGGATAGAACCTGTGTCTCCTGTGACTCCTGCATTGCAGGTGGATTCTTTACTGCTGAGCCACCGGGGAAGCCCCAATAGGTATGTATTCATATCTAATGGGATACGTGTTCCTTACAGAAACTAGCAGGTCTCATTGCTGATTTTTGGGACTGATTATCCAGATTTATTTGATTGGTTAGATTGGGCAGTAGAAAGGTGGAGCAAGAGACATCTGAACTACTAATGTCTGTTTCCCACTTCCCTGTTTCTAATTGCAAAGAATATCAATTAGTGCTGAGCCTTGAGGTCAGTCCCCCATGAGTGTCAATAAAACAATAAAGTTCTTAAGACTGTCCCTGCCTTTAAGAGCTTAAGAGCTTTGGGGGATGCAGAAAGCTCCTCTCCATTCTCTAAATCTATAGGCTCCTTGTTTTAGATTCACTTTTTCTTTGCAAAGTGCCATTCAGTGGATTGGGTCACTACACATCAGAGGTAGGTGCCAGAGCCTGGTTGATGCCTGTCAGCAGTGCCCACTTGCTCTTAGGTTAAGATCGTGCCCACAGAAATTGCTTTGACATATTTCAAAGCTAGCTGCTCAGAGCAGAATAGACATCCAGTCATTTGTCAACTCTGGTGGGGCACATGTCATCTCAGGGTTTTCCATGCACAATGTGTGCCTCCAACTCACCTACAGAATTCTAAGAAATACAGATGTCCTGACCCCGCTCCATAGATGGGTTCTGGTGAAGGTGTTGGTCACAAAAGTCCCCAGGGACTTCCCTGGTGGTCCAGTGTTAGGACTTCACTTTCCAATGCATGGGGTGCAGATTCAATCCCTGGTCAGAAGCTAAGATCTCACATGCCTGGGGCCAAACAACCAAAACATAGAACAGAAGCAATACTGTAACAAATTCAATAAAGACTTTTAAAATGGCCCACATTAAAAAAAAAAAAAAAGAAAAGGTTTCCAGGTGATTCTGTATGCCTTCTGGGTTGATCATGTGGAATGTCACCCCCTCATTCCACTTCTAAGGGATTAAGCTATCCTAAACCACTGCAGCCTCGCACACGCACACACACCTCCTCTCCTTGGTGTGCGCTGAGGGGAAATCAGGATGGCAAAAAACAAAGCATTCCGCACTCCAGATACTGGCTCTAGATAGTTAAGGGGCTTCCCTGATAGCTCAGTTGGTGAAAAATCCACCTGCAATGCAGGGGAACCCCTCCCGCCTCTGCCCCCACCCCTCTCAGTTCCTGGGTTGGGAAGATCCCCTGGAGAAGGGATAGGCTACCCACTCCAGTATTCTTGGGCTTTCCTTGTGACTCAGCTAGTAAAGAATCTGCCTGCAATGCGGGGAGACCTGGGTTTGATCCCTGGGTCTGGAAGATTCCCCTGGAGAAGGGAAAGGCTACCCACTCCAGTATTCTGGCCTGGAAAATTCCATGGACTGTATTTACAGATAGTTAATATGCATTTCTGAGGCATAATTTCAATAAACCGAAATCCTTACATCTTCCTATACCTAGAAAAGCTCTAAAATCATTAACTTGAGATGTCTGCTCTTTAATTAGCAGTGACTGTTTTAAATTTGGCCTTAGAGTACGGAATGAAGCAGGGCAAAGGCTAATAGAGTTTTGCCAAGAAAACGCACTGGTCATAGCAAACACCCTCTTCCAACAACACAAGAGAAGACTCTACACATGGACATCACCAGATGGTCAACACCGAAATCAGATTGATTATATTCTTTGCAGCCAAAGACGGAGAAGCTCTATACGGTCAGCAAAAACAAGACCGGGAACTGACTGTGGCTCAGATCATGAACTTCTTATTGCCAAATTCAGACTTAAACTGAAGAAAGTAGGGATAACCACTAGACCATTCAGGTATGACCTAAATCAAATCCCTTATGACTATACAGTGGAAGTGAGAAATAGATTTAAGGGACTAGATCTGATAGACAGAGAGCCTGATGAACTATGGACGGGGGTTCATGACATTGTACAGGAGACAGGGATCAAGACCATCCCCATGGAAAAGAAATGCAAAAAAGCAAAATGGTTGTCTGAGGAGCCTTACAAATAGCTGTGAAAAGCAGAGAAGTGAAAAGCAAAGGAGAAAAGGAAAGATATTCCCATTTGAATGCAGAGTTCCAAAGAATAGCCAGGAGAGATAAGAAAGCCTTCCTCAGTGATCAATGCAAAGAAATAGAGGAAAACAACAGAATGGGAAAGACTAGAGATCTCTTCAAGAAAGTTAGAGATACCAAGGGAACATTTACTGCAAAAATGGGCTCAATAAAGGACATAAATGGTATGGACCTGGCAGAAGCAGAAGATATTAAGAAGAGGTGGCAAGAATACACAGAAGAACTGTACAAAAAAGATCTTCACGACCCAGATAATCACAATGGTGTGATCACTCACCTAGAGCCAGACATCCTGGAATGTGAAGTCAAGTGGGCCTTAGAAAACATCACTACGAACAAAGCTAGTGGAGGGGATGGAATTCCAGTTGAGCTATTTCAAATCCTGAAAGATGATGCTGTGAAAGTGCTGCACTCAATATGCTAGCAAATTTGGAAAACTCAGCAGTGGCCACAGGACTGGAAAGGGTCAATTTTCATTCCAGTCCCAAAGAAAGGCAATCCCACAGAATGCTCAAACTACTGCACAATTGCACTCATCTCACACGCTAGTAAGATAATGCTCAAAATTCTCCAAGCCAGGCTTCAGCAATATGTGAACCGAGAACTTCCAGATGTTCAAGCTGGCTTTAGAAAAGGCAGAGGAACCAGAGATCAAATTGCAAACATCTGCTGGATCATCGAAAAAGCAAGAGAGTTCCAGAAAAACATCTATTTCTGCTTTATTGATTATGCCAAAGCCTTTGACTGTGTGCACCACCACAAACCGTGGAAAATTCTTCAAGAGATGGGAATACCAGACCACCTGACCTGCCTCTTGAGAAACCTGTATGCAGGTCAGGAAGCAACAGTTAGAACTGGACATGGAACAACAGACTGGTTCCAAATAGGAAAAAGAGTACCTCAAGGCTGTATATTGTCACCCTGCTTATGTAACTTATAAGCAGAGTACATCATGAGAAACGCTGGGCTGGAAGAAGCACAAGCTGGACTAAAGATTGCCAGGAGAAATATCAATAACCTCAGATATGCAGATGACACCACCCTTATGGCAGAAAGTGAAGAGGAACTAAAAAGCCTCTTGATGAAAGTGAAAGAGGAGAGTGAAAAAGTTGGCTTAAAGCTTAACATTCAGGAATCTAAGATCATGGCATCTGGTCCCATCACCTCATGGGAAATAGATGGGGAAACAGTGGAAACAGTGTCAGACTTTATTTTTTTGGACTCCAAAATCACTGCAGATGGTGACTGCAGCCATGAAATTAAAAGACGCTTAGTCCTTGGAAGGAAAGTTATGACCAGCCTAGATGGCATATTAAAAAGCAGAGACATTACTTTGCCAACAAAGGTCTGTCTGGTCAAGGCTATGGTTTTTCCAGTGGTCATGTACGGATGTGAGAGTTGGATTGTGAAGAAAGCTGAGCGCCGAAAAATTGATGCTTGTGAACTGTGGTGTTGGAGAAGACTCTTGAGAGTCCCTTGGACTGCAAGGAGATCCGATCAGTCCATCCTAAAGGAGATCAGTCCTGGATGTTAATTGGAAGGACTAATGCTGAAGCTGAAACTCCAGTACTTTGGTCATCTCATGCGAAGGGTTGACTCGTTGGAAAAGACCCTGATGCTGGGAGGGATTGGGGGCAGGAGGAGAAGGGGACGACAGAGGATGAGATGGCTGGATGGCATCACTGACTCGATGGGCATGGGTTTGAGTAAACTCCGGGAGTTTGTGATGGACAGGGAGGCCTGGCATGCTGCGATTCATGGTGTCGCAAAGATTCGGACACGGCTGAGCGACTGAACTGAACTGAGGTGAACTGAACTGTTGTTTAATGTTTAACTACATATTCTTTTCCCCCAGCAAAAAAGTCTTGTACTTCCTGGCTCCTCTTTACCTTTTGGGAGCAGTTCCTCAGAGCTATCTGAGAAGTTATCTCCTGGCTAGGGTCCTCAGTAACTAGTGTTTGATCATCTTCCCTTTGAGGACAGAATCATTCTGTTGTAGGTATTCGGTCAGTTCAGTTGCTCAGCTCTGTTCCACTCTTTTCGACCCCATGGACTGCAAGGCCAGGCTTACAGGTCCATCACCAGTTTACTCAAACTCATGTTCAACCAGTCGGTGATGCCGTCCAACCATCTCATCCTCTGTTATATCCTTCTCTCGCCTTCGATCTTTCCTAGCATCAGCGTCTTTTCCAGAGTCAGTTCTCTGCATCAGGTGGCCAAAGTATTGAATACTTTGGGATTTTGGACATAGAATGGGATATTTTGGGACAACGTATTGGATTTGGGATGCTGCTGTATCCCAAAGGGAGTATTTGGCACAAAGACAGGAATGCAAATTGTTTTCTGAATGAACCCCGTTTTACAGATGAGGCACCTGAGACTCGGAGATGTTAAGATCACACAGGTGGTGGCGTTGGTCATCTCTCCATTACATTTCGCTAGGAAAGCTTCGGGTTTCTGAGCGCCGACCGCAGGTCTGATGTTCAGGCTGCGGTGTCCAGTTACAAAGGTTAAAGTTTGCTCTCTGTCCGCCTTCGCGAGCTTGTCAGCAGTAACGCCTGCTGCCCTCGCCCGGGGCCACCACCGCAGTGTTAATCTGAGGCTCCGCTCCTTGGGCGGGGCTAGGGGCGGTGCGCGCGTAGGGACCCGTCGCATCTCCGGCTGTCTCGAGGTTCTGCGCCTGCGCGCGGCGCCCAGGGGACTTGGTCGGGCTGAGAAATGGCGGTCTCCGTGTTCTACAGCCGGCTCTTGGCTGCCGCCACGCTGAGGAGCCACCGACCCCGGACGGCGCTGCCTGCCGCAGCCCAGGTATTGAGGCCCTCCCCGATCCCGCCTTGAGGGTTGGCAGGAGAAAGGGCGAGGTGGAGGGCTGGCTCCTGTGGGCGAGGTGCGAGGGGGCCCGGGGCCCGGCTCCGGTCACTCCGCAGTCGGTGACATTGGGTGACAGGGGGGGTGCCCCGCCGGAGTGGCGGGCGGCTTGCCCGGGAGTGCTGCCCGCCGGGCCTGCGAACGGGCTCATGTTTGCGCCTTTTTGCTGCAGCCTAAAATCTGCGAGGAGCTCCGGCCGTCTGGCCAGGGCTGCTCACCTTGTTACTGAGAGGGCGGCGGCGGGGAAGGCTCCAAAAGGGGAGGCGGGGGCAGGACACCTTCTGTTGCTCCTGCCGGCGCGGTGGGCCGAGGCTTCCGCGGCTCTTTGAGGAGGAGGGCATGCCCTTCAGATACACTTTTGTGTCTCTTGGATGCTTCGCAGAACCAGCACTGCTTGCTGACTGGCCTTTCCTGAGACGAGGCCGGGAAGCTTCCCGTTTCCCCTAGGTAGTTGTTTAATAGTGAGAATGAGATGATGTTCACCAACTTATCAATTGGGGAAATAAAATAATCTTTTGGATCACTTTTTTTTTCTGCATACACAGTAGCATCATAGCCTCAGAGTGTGTGTGTGTAAGTAAAAGTAACGGAGCAAGGGCTTGTGTGGCCGTGACATAGAAAGCCAAATTCTGACAGGGGTTGTTTGCAGCAAAATAAGGGTTTATTTGCAGGGGGCCGGGCAAGAGAGTGGGAGACAAGTCACAGATCCACTGCAACTTGATCTTTCAGTTAGGAGTTCTTTTTTTTTTTTAAGGAGTTGTATTTAAAGGGGGAGAACAAAGAAGCTGGGATTAATCACTGGCTTGTGTAATTTCTGTGACATTTCTGATTCTAGTGTCAGGGAGTTGAGTTGTTTATTATTTACGATTCTGTGATCAAATGGTCCAAGGCTTGGGGCCTATTAGCTCATCTTGTCCTGGAGAAGCAACCTGGGTTTGTTCTTTAATGATGGTATATGCAGTAGCAGTTTTAGGACATGAATGATGTTATCAACACAGCAGTTTTAGTCATCAAACTCCGGTTGATTAGTGTTCAGATAGCACAGGATTGAGGTAGGAGGGGACAAGAAAGGGAATAAAGTTTTGGGTAAAGAGATTAATCATAAATTCAGTAAGGGAATTTGGTGGTAGGAGGCCTTGGTTCTGTGTGTGTTGGAGCATTTGCTGTCTGCCAGGAACTGTGCCAAGCATTTTACATGTAGTCTTTCATGAGGCTTTTGAGCAACACTGTAAGGAAGTCATTAATCTCCATATCACTGATGGAGAAACTCTGGCTAAGAGAACGAGTCATTCGGTCTAGATCACCAAGCAGGTGAGATCAGAACTGGGCCTTCATTCTGGAAGTGTGTAGCTCCAAAGTCTGTGTGTTTGAATCTGCTCTACAGTTTTTTCTAGAGCATAAGAATTAGACAATTCTTCCCAATATATGTTGACACTAACAAACTTGTGGAAGGGTATGATTAGCTTCATAAGTCGTTTCTAGAGCTTTTGGTTGTGTTTTGGAAGTAACTTCAGACATGCTGTAAATGAATTTAGACTTTTTTTTTTTCTTTTTAAAGCTATTCATTCTTTCAATCTAGTGAATTCTTTGAGTTTGCTTCCTAACAGGAGAAGTGATTTTTTTTTTTTTTTTTAAGCCTTGAACTTCCTTCTTTTGGGTCTTAAAGGGTTTTTAGAAAATGAGACTTTGGTGAACAAATCTGTTTCCCTTCTAATCATCGTCTTTTTACTTTTGGAAATTCCTTTAAAAGTCTTTATTTCTCCTTATAGAGATGCCTAATATATTGTCTTAAACATCTCTTCCACCCTCACTTTAAGAAATACAGCTTTGGAGTTTGAAATCACCTTAGTCTAACCCCTTGCTTTTATTTTAATTTAATCTTTAATTTGTATTGGAGTACAGTTGATCAATAATGTTGTGTTTCAGGTACAGTTTAGTGATTCAATTATATATATATATTATACTCAATTATATTTATATATATCAATTATATACGGATATATATATGTGTGTGTGGTATACATATATATACATTCATTCTTTTTCAGACTCTTTTTCCCAGCTAGATTATTACAGAATATTGAGTAGAGTTTCTTGTGCTGTAGAGTAGGTCCTTATTTATTATCTGTTTTATATATAGTAGTGTGTCGGAGAAGGCAATGGCACCCCACTCAAGTACTCTTGCCTAGAAAATCCCGTGGATGGAGGAGCCTGGTAGGCTGCAGTACATGGGATCGCTAAGAGCTGGACACGACTAAGCGACTTCCCTTTCACTTTTCACTTTTACTCATTGGAGAAGGAAATTGCAACCCACTCCAGTGTTCTTGCCTGGAGAATCCCAGAGACGGGGGAGCCTGGTGGGCTGACGTCTGTGGCGTCACACAGAGTCGGACACGACTGAAGCGACTTAGCAGCAGCAGCAGCAGTGTGTATGTGTTAATCCCAAACTCCTAATTAAGTGTTCCCCAACCTTTCTGGCACCGAGGACCAGTTTTGTGGAAGACCGTTTTTCCACGGGCTGGGGGGGTGGGGATGGTTTGGGGATTATTCAAGTGTATTACATTTATTGTGCACTTTATTTCTATTATTATTACATCAGCTCCACCTCAGATCATCAGGCGTTAGATACCGGAGGTTGGAGACCCTTGTCCTAATTTATTCTTCCTCCCCAAGTTTCCCCTTTGATAACACTGTTTTTGAAGTCTGTGAGTCTCTTTCTGTTTTGTAAATAAGTTCGTTTGTATCTTTTTTTTTTATTCCACATGTAAGTGATATCATATATTTATCTTTCTCTGACTTAGTATAATGATCTTGAGATCCATCCATGTTCATGCAAATGGCATTATCTCATTCTTTTTATGACTGAGTAGTATTCTGTTGTTTAGATGTACCACATCTTCTTTATCCAGTCCTCTGACAGTGGACATTTAGGTTGCTTTCATTATCTTGGCTATTGTAAATAATACTATCAAGAATGTTGGGTCTAACCCCTTGCTTTTGTAGATGGGGACATAGAGGTGCAGAGCTTAAGGAATCTTGTTCAAGGTCACCCATTGAGTTTAGCAAATTCTCTTAAACATTTTGTTTAGTGCTCTGACTCTCTTGTTTCTCTGTATCTTTTGTCCAGTGTATATTTGATAAAAATAGTTCAAGTTATGAGCATATTAAACAATTTTAGATATATTCTTGTTCGTTGTGAATCATACTCCCTAGTAACTACATTTCCCCGCTTTTGAATAAGTATTACTTAAACTCAGTATGGATTGGAAAGGTGGTGGTGTAGGAGTTTGGCCAGGATTGGTGGCCTTTTGGCAGTAGGAATCTTCTAAGTGATAATGCATCAGGAAAGAAAAATGTATCAGTGTGGGGAATCTTTGTGATTATGCAGGGATTTGTATTACCATCATGATTCCTAGCTGATGATATTTCAAGTTAAAGCTTCTAGTGGCACAACCAAAGGATTATCAAAATATTTCTGGTATTTTAGAAAAACCTTAATGTGGTCTGAAAAGCTATCAGCAACACCTTATGAGTACTACTGATTCTTTTAGACATTTGAAAGAAACCATAGAATTTTGTGTCATGGATTTATGTGTCAAGCTTTTTTGAAAAATTTCAAACTGATAGGTATGTTTCAACTATACAGTGAACACCCATATCACCCTCACCTTCATTTAACATTTTGCCACATTTTCTTTATCTTTAAAAATTTATTCAATTTATATAATTTATATAAATATATCATTTTAAATATTATATATAATATATATAATTTATGTACATATGCATGTATGTATAAATTACATTCATGTATTTTTGTTGAAGTATTTGAGAATAAGTTTCAGCTCTCATGGCACTCCATCCTTAGATATTGCAACATATGTCTCTTAAGAATGAGAGACAAATAACCACAATATAGTTATCATACTTTAGAAATATAAAATTGCCATAATACTAATATCTAATGTATAGGGCACATTCGTATTTCCCCAGTTGTCCCTGAAATGTCCTTTTTAGCTGTTAGATTTTTTTTTTTTAAACTGGGATCAAGCCTCTGTAGTATTTTTTCTGGTCTGTCTGGATAATTACATTCCACCTGGTGATTATGCCCACTCTTACACGTGTTGCAGCTGTTTATGTACACATCTGTGAACTCTGTGGTTGGGACCAAGTTGATCTCATTCTTTTAGTGTTTCTAGTACAGTGTCTGGTATATAGGCATCCAAAAAATGTTTCAGTGCGTGACTATTTTTACCAAGCTTATGCTAGGTACTCCGCCTTGGCCCCCTTATTTTTTATTATTTTGAGGTGTAATTTCTGTACAGCAAAGTACATAATTTATGTACAACTTCAGTTTTTGCTGTTCATTTGCTAAGGTGTATCCAACTCTGTGATCCCATGTGGGTAGCTAGATAAATTTGTATGTATGGATCCATCTTTGTAGCTGCCGTTCAAATCGTGGTATATATATATATATATATATATATATATATATATATATATAGTGTTTTTAGCCTTCAGAAGGCCCTCTCTTTATCAGTACTCACCAACAGGTAACCTACCACTTATTCTGACTTCCATCACTGTATGTTAATTCTGAGTTTGAACTGTATTAAAAAAATTGTATAAGTATGTATTGTTGTGTCTGGCTTCCTTCCCTTAAAATTGTAGTTGTGAGATGAATCCATTGTTGTGTGAACAATACATTTTTCCTTTTTTGCTCTGTACCCTTCTATTGATATAGTACATTTTACCCATTCTTCTGTTTTTAAAACAACTTAAATTATTTGTTTTTCTATTTTGGCTGTGCTGGGTCTTCATTGTGGTGCTTAGTTGCCCCAAGGCATGTAGGATCTTATTTCTCCTACCAGAGATTAAAACCATGTTCCTTGCATTGAAGGGTGGATTCTTAACCACTGGACACCAAGGAAGTTCCTACCCCTTCTTATGTTGATGAGCAGTTGGGTCGTTTCCATTTTTTTGTCTATTATGAATAAGCCTGCTATATATGCCTTTTGATAGACTAAGCATTCATTTCTCTTGAGGCTTTACCCAAGGGTGGGATTTCACAAGGTAGATGTACACTGAAGTTTAGGAGGTTGTTAAGTTTTTAATACTGAAGTGAAACTAAATCAGGGAATTGAGCTAACAAGAGAAATTTTATCCAGCAGTTTAGCTTACCAAATGAATCAGAAATAGCTTGCTATTCTATGTGATTGATTTATTAGACTGTTCGTTCTCAAACTGTAGAGTGCTTAAGAATCAACTGAATAACTTCACAAATGCAGATTTTTTTTGTGGCACAGTCCAGAGATTCTGCTTTTATAAATGAGAGTAGGGCCTTGGAACCTGCATTTTGGAGGCATTCCTAGAGAATCTTGATGCAGGTGGTTCATGAACCCTCTTTAAGATGCAGACTTTTCTATGAGATTCCTTTAAATTCATTTCTTATGATCTCTGTGTTTCATATGAACAATGTTTCAGCATTCTTTGTGGATATAATACAAATGTATGGATGGATAACATTTAAATGTGTATGATTCCAATAGCACTTAATTTGTTCTGAATATTGCCATATAAAGTTGATAGAACTGAGGAGTCTGGAAGAAGGTTGAGAAGTGTTTCTGTGTGGTGTTAATGATGGTTTAAGACTAGGCTTAATTTAGGGGGGAGTTTTGGGACCCATAGATGCTGGAGATCTTTCTGATTGCATCCTTCTTTCAGTACTTCTCATTGTTGTGGCCCTGCAACCAGACGCTGACAACTCTCATACTCCTTTGTCTTTCAGCAATGACTTATTCAGTTTGTAGAGGGATATCTTGTTTCTGTTTCCTACTTATTTCTTTTTGAAAAACTAATTCTTAACTTAGCCCGCTCCCCCCGCCCCGCCCCCGCCCTCGCCCTGGAGGGATGTTTTAGTGGAGAAAACTCCTGCAACTGTATAAAATAGCACTTCTTATTTTTTAATTTTCTATCTTTTTACTCTTATTGCTGTTTGGCGTATTTTCTTTCCTTATTGTTTGTGCCTTCCCCAACCCCCGACATACAAATACATACTAAACTGTAAGCTTTAGGTGCAAGGATTTTGTTGGGTTGACCTCTCTATTTCCAGTGTCTAGGTGCTCAGTGAGTTTTTGAGTGAATGAATGTTTTACATAGATTGAAAAAGGGAGGTTGGTGGGGCATTTCTTTCTTAGAAGCTTTCACAGTTTGTTTGTGAAGCACGTACACCTAAAGGGGTTTATAAAGGGAATAGTTTAGAAGGAATGCATTAAAGATGATATTGCACATTGTAATTTGCCAAGTATTCGATGGAGAGTTTCAGGGAAGAAGTTTATTGAAAAGTGATCTCAGGATCAATACCTGTGGGATAGTGAAGGAAGGAGGATTGACTGCAACTCTGGTGTAGTGCAGTGGGACCTCTGCTCTTCCTATGGGAGGTCTACAACTAGAATGATCCTGAATTGTCCCAAATTGGGGTGAGGTGCCAGGTATTTGGACTTTTCTGGTGCCTTAGCAATAAAGAACTCACCTGCTAATGCAGGAGACATAAGAGACGTGGATTCGATCCCTAGGTCGGGAAGATCCCCTGGAGAGGGCATGGCAACCCAATTTTCCCAGTATTCTTGCTGTAGAATCCCATGGACAGAGGAGCCTGGCGGCCTCAGTTCATAGGGTCACAAAGACCTGGACACGACTGAGTGACTGTGAGCATGCACATGCACACCATGTTTTCACGTCCCTACCCTGACTCTCATTGGCCAGGCATTGGCTACAGAAAGGGTCCGATGAGGGGGTTCAGCTGAGGCCTGTCAGCTGCCTCCTAGCAACTGGGGCTATGAATGCCTTGGTCCTGAGTGGGGATCTGGGTGGCACACCACGATGTGCAGTGCTGATGAAGTCGGGGTTTGAATTTTGAATGTATGAAAGATTGATGGTACCACATCATACAGGTACCTCATATCTTGTGTCAGGCAATTTGTTAGGTGCTGGAGGAATGATGGAGAGAAGAAAGGTGGGAAGGATTTTTGATTTGGGGGAAATAGGAGATTGGTTTTAGATCTGCAGAATTTGGCTTTGAGGTAGAAATGCTCTGTAGATCATTATGGATATGGAGGTATAGCTCAAATGAAAGTTAAAGACTAGTGATAATGAGGAAAAAGTTAAAACTATAAGGGTCACTTTTGACGTTTAGCTAGTAGATTAGCTGTTAGTTTTGTGCTGTAATTTACTCTGAATATGATATTTTGATGTTTTACTATGACAACTTTGTTATAGTTTTGAAGAATCAAGTACTCCAAATTATTTTGAAGTGTTTTTAACAAGAATTCCTGCTACATCACTCTTTATATAAATATGTCCCCAATTTCTCTAGGTCCTGGGAAGCTCCGGATTGTTTAACAACCATGGAGTCCAAATACAGCATCAACAGCAAAGGAATCTCTCTCTGCATGAATACCTGAGTATGGAATTGTTGCAGGAAGCTGGCGTCTCCATTCCCAAAGGACACGTGGCTAAGTCACCAGATGAAGCTTATGCAATCGCCAAAAAATTAGGTACTAAATTAAGAAATAGGTTCTCAGATAAGATATGAACTTTACTTCTGGCTTAATAACAACTTTTGACTTTTCTTTTATATTTTTTAAAATAAGTTTTATTCATGTAAAAGAGAAGGTGGAACTTAGGACTGTTGACATGCTAAAATTATTGAGATTTTCTGAGCTCCCATAGTGCCCATAACTTAAGAATCAAAGTTTCAAGAAGCTGAAGTCCTGTGTTTAGTTTTTTGAGCTGAAGTCCTTTCGGGAAGGAAATCTGGCTCTGTTGATTCTTCAGGGAATGGTGAAAGATCTTAGCTGTTTCTGTATTTGTAAAGAGAAGTCTGGGGCTTCCCAGGTGGCATAGTGGTAAAGAATCTGCCTGCCAGTGCAGGAGACCCAAGAGACTCTGGGTTGAGAAGATCCCCTGGAGTAGGAAATGGCAACTGGCTCCAATATTCTTGCTTGGAAAATTCCCCAGACAGGGGAGCCTGGCGGGCTGCAGTCCATGTGCTCACAGAGAGTCAGATATGACTCAGTGACTGAGAACACAAGGAGAGGTACAGTGTTTCCCCATCTTTTTTTTGGACATGAAAAATAGAGAACAGAAGGAGAAAAAAAGAAGTTCAGCATTAGAATGTAAGCTCTATGAGAGCAGGACTTCTTTGTCTTTTATTCACTGATAGACCCCAATCTCTTAGAAGAGGGCATAACACTTAGGTAATAAATATTAATATAAATGTTAATCTTTTTAAATGAATTAAATAGTTGCTCATGTTTATTAGAGTCTTTTACTGATAATAGAAACCTTAATAGCTTTGCTTAATTTGAATTTATGTTAATCTCAATTAAAAAATAAATTTGGAGTTTGGAAAGTATTCTTCACTTTATATTTTTAAGGATCTAATAGGAGAACATGTTAATGAGTAATGTACTAGCTATACACTGCATTTTCTTTTTAGCAGTATTTAAAATCACACCAATTTTATGTATTAATAATTATCATAATCTCTCTTATATGTACATTTGGCTAATATGCCCTTAAATGTGCTTTGGTGAAAATTTTGCTTTTATCATTTTTTTAGGAAAGATGTGGAACATTTTAAACCGTTGAAAATTGTAAAAGTTTTCATCTCTATTTGTACTTACTTGTTTCTAGGATGGGTTTTTGTTTCAAAAGTGAAAGCATGTAGAAGATCAGAAGGTTGTCATATATCATATGATATGTTTTTGAATGGGGGGCACTGTTGATTTCCTTGTCTTGGAAGTACGATTTTTAATTTACAGTTTTGTTTATTCTTAATCAGAAAAATAGTTCTTTTTATTCAGATTACAAGCAAACTTCTTTTTCTTCAGTAAAAATCTGATGTAAATTCATACTAATTTTGGTGAAATTTTTGTTAATTAATGATAATCTGTAGTTTGAACTTGTCCATGGTAAAAGATGTACCTCATTTTAACCTTTAAAACATCATGTATATTAGGGGCTTTTAAGGGTCATGGCTTAAAGAAAACCCATGATTATATTTCTGTAGTATTTCTTGCAAAGGCACTTTTTAATAACTACCTTCTTGAGATTCAGTCTTAGATATATGACCTAAATGTTAATTTCTAAAGACCCAGATAACTAGGAAGCAAAAAGCTTTCTTATTCTACCCTACTGTACTTAAGGGTGAATTTCAGACATTTGACTTTATTCTTTTAATTTTGTTAGTTTAATTTTTTGAGTGATCAATTTTTTTGTTTATTAGTTCTTTCCTTCTATAAAGCTGAAGTCATAAAGTATTTTCCATACACTCTATGTGATAAAAGGGCCAGATTTAATGAAGTCGGTTAAAGCTAGTGTTTCTTTTTCTGCTTCCAAATTATTATAATTGGTTTTCTTAGTTTTCTGTATATTTTCTTATTTAGTCAAATTTCACTGTGTTGTCAAAAAAAATAATTTGTGTACAAACTTTTTCATAAAACAAGCAGGATTTATTCAGATGCAAGTCTCTTGATTTATTTACTCACTGTAAAAATCTTTAATGATTTCTAGCTGTGGAAGAAAGAATAGTTAATATATAGGATATATTGTAGCTGTGAAATTTCTGAAAGTTCTCTGGATCCAGGACTTGGAAGTAGTAAGGAGCAGAGAAGCAGGCCCTTGGAACCGAAGACATCATGTTTATCTAGAAAGTGTGCTTTTGTCAAAGAAGGCTGGAAAATGATGATTGTCATAGGGAGTGGGATTAGTGACAGATAGGACCTTTAAATCTAAAGGATCAGAAACACTACATTTTAAAAGATGCATTTCATAACTACTTTAAGAATGTTGAAACAATTTTGTTTTTTGTGGTGAGTCATTAATATTAGAAGATACCGATTATGGGATGTAATTGTACAAGTTGTGTTATGAGGTGCCCTAGAAATACACCTGATTCTTTCTATCTAGCTAGCAATTTTCAGTGCTGATTTTGGCTAATTTTTGCTTCTCAGTTACTCCAAGATTCATAGAATGTTAATTCCCATTTAAAAAAAAAAGTCTTACCTCACCAACTGATAAACTAGGGCAAAAATGTGTTACAGATGTGACAAAGTATTGCTTCCCTTCAGTCCTGTGGGTGGCAAGAGAAGTTTAGTTAGCATGAGGCCTGGGGTCACTGAGCCCTGTGGCCACTGAGCCCTGTAGCTGGTTACTCCTTCCAAAAGAGCTCTGACCTCTTTCCTCATATTCCCTACAAATTCTATCATTTCCTGGCATTATCATTATCATGACATCTGTCATGATGTGGTAAAAGTTTGAAAACACTGCCCTAGGGGCAAGTTTTACCTATTGTGAATAATTGAAGTTAGGGATAGGAGAATGGTTGGAAAGAAATCTAATTCCGGTATTTTAAGACTCATAGAAGTCACACAGTGAAGGGTGATGGAAGATAATGGAATGGAATGGATTATCAAAGGGTTGTTAAGCACAGAGAAATGAAATAGTTATAATTTGGGGTCAGTTCTGAGAGCAGGTTCCCATCTCCTTACAGTTATTGCTTTAAGAAAACTAAGGCATTTGGTAGAATTCTTATGATTTCCCTGTTGATTATAGAAATATAGTTTGGATTCTAATATAGTTGAGATAGAATTTCTCTCTGGTTAAATAAACATGCAGAGGGTGTGGATTAGTGAATGTCAGCCTGGAGGCAGATTTCTTTTGGCATACAACAGGACTTTGCCTCCTTTTCCTTTTTCTGATATCTTATTAGATGACTGTGTATGAGAAGTGCTTAACTACATTTGTGGATGACTAAAGCTAGGAGGGATGGTGAATATACTTTAAAAATAATCTTGATACCCACAAATTTTGCTCTTGTCTGACTAGAGAAAGGGCCAAATCCAGTAAGACTGAGCTCTCTGCTCATTGTTGTATCAAGAACTCTAGCACAGTATCTCCTATGTAGATGTAACTGTTGATTGAATTAATGGAATTAAATAAAATCTTTCTTTCAATCATTTGTCCTCAGATTTATCTTCTAATACTCCCTGTTTTGCTAGCTGATGAGATTGTATGTCATTACTTGTGTTTCTTTTTTTGCTCTTCTTTTGTTGTGAAAGACTTTTTTAGAAGGAACTTTTGAAGGATCTTTTGTGCCCTTAAGGAGTTTATTTTCCTAAGAAAAAGAAAATTGACACTGGGGGAAGAGCTTTCTGTTTTGTAAAATGTTTTTGAAGAAATAGAACTTCATTACTCTTACTTAATAGATCAGTATGTTAAGTTCCCAGCTTGATGAATAGGAATGTTTGAATTTAGCCCAGCAAAGCACAACTGTTGTCCATTTTTATATTACATTTATACTGTTTGGATTACAGATATTCTCTTTGGATTTAAATGAATATTTAAGTACTGGAAAACTGACTCGACAGGTAACCAGAAACAGGTAAAATGACTAGTGGCTGCTGCTTTTGTCAATAATTTGGGCATGAACTCTAATTTTCCGTAGCCCCTGAGGCTACCTGTTGTCTTCTCAATAAGGAAATTATTGTCAGTTTTGAAGAAATTTCTAAACTTTCTCTAATCTTTATCTAAAATTAGTTGTTACATTTGGGAATGGTGGGGACTGTGGCAAATTGAAATAATGTCTTGTGTAAACAAAACACTTTTTAGTCATTTCTGGTTGTAGGGCCCAAGATTTCCAATTCAGATTTTTCAAGAGCAGTGGAAAATCTGGATTCATAAGAATTCTCTTGGTTTGTAAATGTTCTTTTATTCATGATTCAGAGTATATTGTGTACTAGGAACTCTCCCAGGACCTTGTAAATATCACTGAACAAGATTCTGCCCTTCTGGAGTCTGTATTTAGTGGGGGAGCAAAACAAAAATGATAAACATGAGAAAATGATGTTTGAAGGCGATGACTTCTATTAAAAAGAACAGGGTAAGGTGGATTGGTCACGGGTGGGCAGTCACAGTGTTAAGTAGAGTGATCAGGGTAAACCTCATGGATGCTTTAGACTTAAAGAAAAACTAGAAAGGAATGGGTACCTTTCCTAAATGGATACCTGTGTGCAGAGTATTCCAGGGAGAGAGGTTGCTGGGAGCCAGATCCTGAAGGAAGACAGGAACATGCCCAGGACCAGAGAGACCAGAGTAGCTGGTGTGTGAACAGTGAGGAGGATGTGATACAAGGGCAGGGGTTCTGGGGGATTACACGGAGCCTTGAGGCCATTGTAGGGACTCTGCCTATAACTCCCTGGGAAGTGGGCATTCAGTGCAAGGTTTTAGGTAGAGGAGTTTCATGCTCACTTTGGCTGCTGCCAAGAATATCCTTTTGGGGATGAGAGTAATCTAGGTGAGAGGTCCTGGTGGCTGGGATCAGGGCCGAAACTGGAGGTGATGACAAGTTGTCCAGAGACTGGATATATTTTGAAGGTGGAACCAGTATGATTTCCTGACTGAATGTTTGGTGGAGTGTGAGAAAGGACTTTTTTAAAAAACACTGCCTGAACTGACGCACAGGGTTGTCTTCTGACTTGTGTACATTTCCAGTGTGAACACATTCATATCATTAGTGAAAGTTGCTCAGTCATGTCTGACTCTGCGATCCCATGGACTATACAGACCATGGAATTCTTCAGGCCAGAATACTGGCTTGGATAGCTGTTCCCTTCTCCAGGGGACCTTCCCAACCCAGGGATCGAACCCAGGTCTCGCGCATTGCAGGCAGATTCTTTACCAGCTGAGCTATCAGGGGTGCCCGAGAATATTGGAGTGGGTAGCCGTTCCCTTCTCCAGGGGACTTCCTGACCCAGGAATTGAACTGGGGTCTCCCGCATTGCAGGCGGATTCTTTACCAACTGAGCTAACAGGGAAGTCTAAACATTTTGTAGTAATTGTTCCAGTGTAAACTTTTGATCATTTCTTATTTGATCACAATCTGTATTTGTTACCTCCTTGATTAGGTGAGGGTGCCCTCTCATCTGGCTTGGTATATGCATGTTAGAGACTGGCCTTTCCTGGTGGTAGAATTCCCATCTTTAGCCTATTCAGATACACATTTATGGAGTGGTCGTTACATCCCAGGGACCTCTTTGTGCTGGGGATACAGCAAACAAAATGACAGTGTCCTTAATCTTGACCTCAAAGGTTAATTGTTTTTCATAATGTAATAGTGGTGTTACGCTGCTGTAACTGTAACTGAGCACACATCTGTGCTCAGTCATGACTGACTGAGACCCTATGGACTGTAGCCCACCGGGTTTCCCTGTCCATGGATTTCCCAGGCAAGAATACTGGAGTGGTTGCCATCTCCTCCTCCAGGGGCTCTTCCCCACCCAGGGATCAAACCCTGTCTTCTGCACTGGCAGGTGGACTCTGCAGATTCAGGCGGTAACACTGCACCGCCTGAGTATGGGCAGAATGCTATGAGAAGCAAAATGAGGAGGCTCTGAAGTTCTGCCTGTCTCGGGAGACAGAATGTTCCTCTAAAAAGTGTTGCTCTGTATCATGAAGAGTAGTACCTAAGCTAAACAGCTAGTTTGATAACTTTCTTCATCATGTTAGAAAAGGAAGGAAAAGAGATCAGTTTACCTGTTAAAGAAGAAAAATTCAGATTATTTTCTGAAAAAATGTCTTAAAGACTTGGAAGCATAATATTCTGGAATCTTTGGATAAACTTACCTTAATTCCTATCATCCCCCTCACAACAGTACAGCTGGAGAGTGTAAGTGGGATGGCGTGAACTGATATCAGTAGTGGAACTTCCCCTGAAAGTCACGGTACATTTCTACTCAAAGCAGCATTTATACCTCAAATTTTCATAGGATAGCAAGTTTACATATCAATAGGGAGGGAGGAAACTGTTAGGAAGGTATTTGACTCAATTTTGTAAACTTCATACCTTGCAGAGTAATTAATATTTAAAGTACCAAATAAAGGTAAACTTATTATCAGTATGCTTAAGAAATGGTTTAATATGAGTGGCTGATTTTTTTAGGTTTGTGAATCTGTAGGTGGTGAATATTTTAGTGTCCTAATCTAGAAAATCTATGTACATGGAGTGCCTCATTTTTCAACATTGTGGGTAAATGGATCTTTAATTTACTACGTTTAGTAAGATTGCTAAATGTGTATGTTTAATAGCAAAGTATTGTGTGTTGTGTGCTGCTCCATGTGTTGTTTCTAATAGAAGTGCTTTTCTTCTAGGTTCAAAAGATGTTGTGATAAAGGCGCAAGTTTTGGCTGGTGGCAGAGGAAAAGGAACATTTGAAAGTGGCCTCAAAGGGGGAGTGAAGATAGTTTTCTCGTAAGTTGTTTTTTTTTTTTTAAATCATCACTATTAAAGAAATAATGAATATTATAAAAGATGCCCTTATTGAATTGATAAAAATACTGAGATTTAAGTAGTAGGTGAGATAAGGTTTTGGCTGTCATGTGCTTATATTTATCTCACTTGGAGGAGAAAAGAGTTTGAGTTCTTTTTCTTATTTTAGTCCAGAAGAAGCAAAAGCTGTTTCCTCACAAATGATTGGGAAAAAGTTGTTTACCAAGCAAACAGGAGAAAAGGGCAGGATATGCAATCAAGTATTGGTTTGTGAACGAAGATATCCCAGGAGAGAATACTACTTTGCAATCACAATGGAAAGGTCATTTCAAGTGAGTAATTGTAGACATGATGCATTTAGGATGATCTTAATACATTCAGTTTCATAAGTTGATTATTATTTCTGTTTGTATGAGAAAGATTAAAAAGATATGGTCCATAATCTATTTGTATATGTCAGGAGAACAATATTTTTGTTTAAAAAAACAACATGATTAATGCCATAAAACTTAATAGAATCTTGTATAATAAGAACTGTAGGTAAAACCATGCTGAAATAAAACCCACAGAATTTCTAAATTGTTAATTTGCTAAGAGCAGCTTAAATCATCTCTGATTCACCTTTAGATTCCATAAACTGAGAAAATAACTTCTAGCACAGTCAAATAGTCTAACCAAAGAGAAAGTTTCTGGATCCACTAAGAGAATATGTACCCCTGGCTTCATCTTTGTCTTTTTCAACTTCATGGAATTTTTATACTTTGAGGTTTATTTCATAGTGACCTGCTACTGGGTAAGTTCAAGGAAGACATTCAGTAGCAAACAATACGCTTCTATGAAACATAACCTTATTCTGCCTTGCTTTTTTTTTTTTTTTCCTGCTTTGCTTTCTTTATGGAACTTAATATGCTAGCAGTGAATTTAAGACATCACAGGAAGAGAAATGTCTTTTGTAGACCTTGTGCTTGGAGAGGGTGTTGACAGTCATTTTATAGTATAATTATCTGGCTTTTTGAGTACATTGGTTAAGTTTTATGAGCTGAATCTGTGTGCTAACTAGCTTGTCTTTTGAAGCAGGCTGAGTTCATATTTGGTAGCCCTGGTCAAGATTTGATGTAGAACATCCCTAAATTATATAATTGGTAATATGACAGAAATTTTAAGAGTCATGAAACTCTTTTCTTATATAAAACATATTTTAAAAAAATAGCTGTTTTCCATACTGTATTTTTTTAAACATTTAATTAAGTCTTCTAATAATTTTTGAGTGATATTATAAAATGTCTTTGTAACTTTTAATTTTTATAAGAAAGTATTTCTTAAGGTATAACACTAGATGGTAGTAAAAACCCACTCAGGATATAAGATAAAAAGCATTGTTTTGTTTGGAAGTGATGTCTTTACCTCTAGGTTTCTTCATATGACAGAATTTACTTTTGTAAGTTGCTTTAGAAATGCCATGACAGTAATCTTGTATATTATAAACAGTGATAAAAATTATGTTTTTACAAATTCATTTATGTTTTCTACATTTTCCTTTTCAGTGATGTTATATATCAACATCTATCATTCTGTTAGTTATTATGTTTTTACTTTTTGTTATAGACAGAAACAGGATACATGTGCCTAAACAGTTTGAGATAATGAGTCCTGTTATATTGTACATTCAGAGTAGCTCATTTTGATGGGAATAAATGTAGCAAACTGAATATGTTTTAAAGATACAGCTATAACACTGTAAATGTGTCTTATTAAAGATATGTTAAAGCAGTAGAGAAAATGATCAAATTTGAATTCATTTTAAGAACTTGAATTTTCAGAGAACTTAGAGTCTTATTAAGGAAAACTGTTTTTATTTCATTTGTACAAGTAATATATAGTTGTAGTAATTCATGCTAAAAATTCAGTAGTACTAGTTGAACCATTCAGCTAAAGACATTATAATGTACTTTGATACTATCATGTTAGACCATTGTGGAGTTGGTTGGTGTTACTTTTGAGGGTAAAATGAACTATTTTGGGAATCCCTATTAAACAACAAAAAATAAGTCAGCCATTTAAATTAAAAAGAAAAACACATTTTGATTGAATTAAAGTCATATGCTTCTGAGTCAGTGCATCTTTAAAAGTTGATTTGGTTGCTTATCTGTTTTTAGGAGATGAATCATAAGCTTTACTGGTCTTCTTTAGTGTGTATCACATAAAGAAGCCTGAGCAGATATGTACTGTAGGGTTGATGTGCCCCCAAAAATTGATTTTAAGTTCCTCTTCAGTATTTTGGCACTTTAAAAAAATCAGATTTCTTAACATTTGCTTAGTGCCTGTTGGGCACTTTTGGGCTGAGACAAATCTAATTCAACAAATCATATTTGCTACTTAATTTTTTTAGTAAAACATTGCAGGCTGCTGTAAATGAATGGTACATTTAACTCTGTCAATTTTTTTTTTTTTTTTTTTTGCTTCCTTGGATTAGATTTAAAATGTGCTGCAAGAATTCCAAATGTTAATTTTCCATACTTTTATTTCTTTAAAAAGAGATCTATAAAGTGGCTTCTTTGTTATATAATTTTAAATTCAGTTCCATTTTAAGGCAAACCCTTTTGTAACACCAACAAGAAAAGAGAAATTTAGGCTAAGAATGTGAAAATAGCATTATTAATTTATTTGAAATTACAATTCTTTGCCAGAACTTACTGTTCTGAAAATTTATCACTAAAATTTCAGAGTTAAAAAGCAGATTATTTGAATTACCAGTTCATTCAACAGGCATGATCACATGCAAAACTACAGCCATTGTTTTAACAGATCTCTTTCTTATTTTCCTATGTAAGCTTTCTTCTGAATAGTTGGCTACAGATTTGAGGGTTTCTGTTTAATTAATTAGTCAGGGAATTAGTACAAAGAGCAGTTAACTTTCTGTTATATATTTAATTTCATATGTAGTTTTTTAGATTTTTCTCTAACTTACAGCCAACTCTTAGAGATCTAGTCATTACTTTAATGAGAATTTAATATTAACTGTTTTCCCCCAGTAGTGCTGCCTTTTATGTGGCTCTTCACTTCTCTTATTAGTAGATATGAGAAGAAAAGGACAGTAAAACTAAAATAAAATGTGCAAATAAGCTCTAAAAAATTTATTCATTCTACCTTTTCTTTTGAGTAAAATCATATTTGGGAGTTACCTGTAGATTAATTCATCTATATTATACTTCAGTAGCATGACAGTAGTAGACTCTTAAATCTGAACTTTTCCCTCTCTCTTTAGATCTCTGTAAAAGCTTATAATTATGAATTGCCTTTCTAGGGAGGAAATGAAGAATGCCTTTTCATTTGAAGTTTGTAGAGAAAGTAAAAATTATGCTTTTAATTTCAAACATTTCCCTTTACTTGAGCTTGCTTCTGTTTTTTTCTTTAGTTTCAGAAAGGTGCAGTGAATTCTTTTGTTAAACTGTGTATGTGTGTTACAGTGAGTTCTGACACTAGGGTACACAGAGTTGAGCCAGACTTCACAGGTTAAGGGCTCATTCCTCTACATGACTGACCTCACTTCAGACATCAGTTGCAAATTTAGCTTTCCCAGGTCACCCTCACTTCTGACTAACTGGCAACAAATTTAGGGATTCCTAGTATAGCTCATTCTGTCATTTTTGAGATTGCATCCAAGTACTGCATTTTGGACTCTCTTGTTGACCATGATGGCTACTCCATTTCTTCTAAGGGATTCCTGCCCACAGTAGTAGATATAATGGTCATCTGAGTTAAATTCACCCATTCTAGTCCATTTTAGTTCGCTGATTCCTAGAATGTTGACATTCACTCTTGTCATCTCCCCTTTGACCACTTCCAATTTGCCTTGATTCATGGACCTAACATTCCAGGTTCCTATGCAATATTGCTCTTTACAGCATTGGACCTTGCTTCTATCACCAGTCACACCATAACTGGGTATTGTTTTTGCTTTGGCTCCATCCCTTCATTCTTTCTGGAGTTATTTCTCCACTGATCTCCAGTAGCATATTGGGCACCTACTGACCTAGGGAGTTCCTCTTTCAGTATCCTATCATTTTGCGTTTTCATACTGTTCATGACCAACAGACTGGTTCCAAATAGGAAAAGGAGTACCTCAAGGCTGTATATTGTCACCCTGCTTATTTAACTTATATGCAGAGTACATCCTGAGAAACGCTGGGCTGGAAGAAGCACAAGCTGGACTAAAGATTGCCGGGAGAAATATCAATAACCTCAGATATGCAGATGACACCACCCTTATGGCAGAAAGTGAAGAGGAACTAAAAAGCCTCTTGATGAAAGTGAAAGAGGAGAGTGAAAAAGTTGGCTTGAAGCTCAGCATTCAGGAATCTAAGATCATGGCATCTGGCCCCATCACCTCATGGGAAAAAGATGGGGAAACAGTGTGTCAGACTTTATTTTTTTGGACTCCAAAATCACTGCAGATGGTGATTGCAACCATGAAATTAAAAGACGCTTAGTCCTTGGAAGGAAAATTATGAACAACCTAGAGAGCATATTAAAAAGCAGAGACATTACTTTGCCAACAAAGGTCTGTCTGGTCAAGGCTATGGTTTTTCCAGTGGTCATGTATGGATGTGAGAGTTGGACTGTGAAGAAAGCTGAGCACTGAAAAATTGATGCTTTTGAACTGTGATGTTGGAGAAGACTCTTGAGAGTCCCTTGGACTGCAAGGAGATCCAACCAATCCATCCTAAAGGAGATCAGTCCTGGGTGTTCATTGGAAGGACTGATGTTGAAGCTGAAACTCCAGTAGTTTGGCCGCCTCACGTGCAGAGTTGACTCATTGGAAAAGACCCTGATGCTGGGAGGGATGGGGGCAGGAGGAGAAGGGGACAACAGAGGATGAGATGGCTGTATGGCATCACCGACTCAATGGACATGAGTTTGAGTAAACTTTGGGAGTTGGTGATGGACAGGGAGGCCTGGCATGCTGGGATTCACGGGGTAGCAAAGAGTCAGACACAACTGAGCGACTGAACTAACTGAAATATCCCTCAGGTTCATAATTTGCTAGAATGACTCACAGACCTTAGGAAAATACTGGATTTGTGATTACAGTTTTATTATAGCCAAAGGCTAAAAGCCAGAACCAGCCAAATGGAGATGCACATGGCACGGTCTGGGAGAGTCCCATACATAAAGTTCCTATTTGCTTCAGGGTTCTGTTATCTTCCTCACATACTTGATATGTTGATATGTTGATGTGTCACTTGTTGATATGTGACAACACGCAGAGTATTGTGCAACCTCAGAAGCTCACTGAGCTTGTGGTCTAGAGCTGTCATTTTTTAAAGTTGTGGTCAGAAACATAGAATATGAAACTTACTGTCTTCAACTGCTTTTTTGTGTATCATAACTAAGATCATGACATCTGGTCCCATCACTTCATGGGAAATAAATGGGGGAAAAATGGAAACAATGACAGACTTTATTTTCTTGGGCTGCAAAATGTTATGGATGGTGGCTGCAGCCTTGAAATGAAGACTCATGCTCTTTGGAAGAAAAGCAGTGACAAACCTAGACAGCATATTAAAAAGCAGAGACATCACTTTTCCGACAAAGGTCCATATTGTCAAAGCTTTGGTTTTTCCAGTAGTCATGTATGGATGTGAGAGTTGGACTATAAAGAAGGCTGAGCACAGAAGAATTGATGCTTTTGAATTGTGGTGTTGGAGAAGACTCTTGTGAGTCCCTTGCACAGAAAGGAGGTCAAACAAGTCAATCATGAAGGGAGTCAACCCTGGATATTCACTGGAAGGACTGATGCTGAAGCTGAAGCTCCAGTACTTTGGACACCTGATGCAGAGAACTGACTTATTGGAAAAGACCTTGATGCTGGAAAAGATTGAGGGCATGAGGAGGAGGGGACGACAAGCAGTGAGATGGTTGGATGGCATCATCAACTCAGTAGACGTGAACTTGAGCAACCTCCTGGAGATAGTGAAAACAGGGAAGCCTGGCATGCTGCAGTCCATGGGGTCACAAAGAGTTGGACACAACTTAGCCACTGAGCAGTGACAACGATATTGAAATCTAGTCATGTAATATTACATTTAAAAGGTACAAAAATGTACAGAGAAGTATAAATCTTCCACCCACACAGTTTTTTTCCTTGAAGACTGATACTTTTTAAAAATCTTTTTTTGCCTAGGTATAATAACTCTCTTTAAAAAAATAATAAATACTCCCAGCCGCATCTCTTTGGCTATCGCTGTATTTTGAGGATTTGAAACACTGTATTGTTTTCCAAACAGTAATGAATATTTTGGTTTGGCCAAGAGGTTCATTCAGTTTTTTCCATTAAGACAGCTGTGGTAGTGCTTAGTTGTTTTTAACTTCATTTGAAACACTTTTGTTAGATTGTGTTGTCACAATCTAACTGCTGTCAGATCAGTGAGCTTTAAAAAAAAACACGCATCACAATTGGTGAATTTTTGTATAGCCATTTTAATATTGAAGATGGAAGAAAAAAGCAATGTTTTTGGCATATTATGCTTTATTGTGTCAAGAAAGTAAAAATGCAACTGAAATACACAAAAAAGATTTGTGCAGTGCATGTATAAGGTGCTGTGACTGAGTGAATTTGTCAAAATTGGTTTGTGAAGTTTTGTGCTGGATATTTTTCACTGGACAAAGCTGCTCGGTCGAGTAGACCAGTTGAAGTTGATAGAGATCAAATGTGCCTTTTATTTTTACTTAAAAAACCAGACGAAGATTTTGGCCAACCCAATAATATTATTTCTTTACCTCATATCTTGAAATGAATTTGTTACTGAAACATTTAGATGCTGGGGTAGAAAAGTGAAATTAGTCTTTAGGTTTTTTTTTTCTTTCCTGAATTAAGAATCATATATTCACTGTAGAAATTTTCTTTTTTTTAGAAAATGTTGTTGTTCAGTCGCCAAATAGTGACACAAATAACAAAATAAAATAACAGAAGTCTTATTTAATGTTTTATTTCTTATCTTTCTGTGTGTCTGTGAATAGTGGGAAGGTGCACATTTAAGCACATTTTATGTTAAAAAAAAAAAATTGAGTATAGAATCTAGGGTTTTGTACCTTTCTTTTCCCCCCAGAGAATACTACTGAGTCATTTTCCTTTCCAGAAGCATTAAATAATCTTCAGTAGAATGTTTTTACCATTTCCTATTTTTGCATGATAAGATTATTTCCAGTTTTGTGCATTGTTTGGCAAATCTATTAGGTAATTTTGCTTCAAGGTTTTTTCCTTAACTGATCTTAGGAGACTCAAAAGTTAACTTAATTGGTTAGTATTTATGTCTTACCTTATTATGTTCTTCATGATAATAGCCAGAGCTCTTCTTTGAAGGTAGATAGCTTTCTTTTTCACTGACCTCCAGTAGCCTAGAGATTATAAATCGGAAGGTTTGTTCATTAGACTTTCCCTCTTAAATATTAGCAAACTGTTTCTATTATTTTTTTAAATGTTCTTTAAACAATACTTTAATGTCCCTTCAGTTCTTGTGAGAAATGTAGAGGTTATATTTTGCATATACGTGTATGTTTATATTGTTTGGTATACACTTTGTGTTTATTTTTAATCCTTTTCCCCTCACAGGTAAGATAGTGCCTTCTTCATCCTTTTCATTTCTTTTCCATTATTTCAATTGAATGTTTAAAAGAACACTATAGGAGATGCCAGGATAAACTCTCAAGGGGGTTTAAAAATAGTGGAGAGTGACAGATGTATAAGTTTGATAGTATGCATAAATAGATTTTAAGATTTTATTGATGGGTCCAAAATAAAATCTAGCTGTTTTTTCTGTTTCCCTTCCTGCTAGGGTCCTGTATTAATAGGAAGTTCTCACGGTGGTGTCAATATTGAAGACGTTGCTGCTGAGACTCCCGAGGCCATAGTTAAAGAGCCTATTGATATTGTAGAAGGCATCAAAAAGGAACAAGCTGTCCGGGTATGTTGTGTTTTGAAACATTTCTAGGTTTTATTTGGATAATTGCAACACTTAAAGAGAATTAACTTTATGTAAGGGAAGTGCTTGATAAAACTTTTGAAAACATTTTTTTTGAGTGTCAGGGTATGTTAAATCTTATTTGAAATGGAAACTTTTTAGAAGTATCTACAGCATTTTATTTCATGTCCTCCATAAATATTTTAATATGTATTTTTAAAAGATAAGGATTTTTTTTTTAAAGAGTCACTATATGTACCATAGCCATACCTAGTAAAATCACTATCTTCACTTACCCAGTCATTCCAGTTCCCTAGTTGTCTCATGTTTTTTTTTCCTTAGAATCTGTTTGAATTGGGATCCATTTAAGTTCCTTCACTGCAGTTGGTTAATAGATCTCATAGGTCTTCTTCTGTTAATAGCTTATAGATTTCCTTTTTTTCATTTTTTTCATCCATTTTCTTTCATTTGTTGGAGAACCTGGAGTGATAATGCTTTGTTTTTCATACTCTGGATTTTCATCTGCATGGTGGCATTTAATATGTTCCTGTCCCCCCTTTATATCCTATACACTGTATGGAATGGTAGCGACACTGTCTCATATATCCCTATGATAGATCAGTGATTTTATTTGGGGGATTTTATGGGTGCTTTTAAGAATCTGATTAAAGCTGTGGGCTTTCTCTCAGTGTATTCACATGCACAATAAATTTTGCTTGCAATTTCACTAGTTTGCTATACCATCCTTCTTGTGTGCCTCTTCCTCTCATTACATTCCCCCTCAAAAAAGAGCTCTCCAAACAGCATCGAAACATGTATATTATCTAGGGTGAAACAGATCACCAGCCCAGGTTGGATGCATGAGACAAGTGCTCGGACCTGGTGCACTGGGAAGACCCAGAGGGATCGGGCGGAGAGGGAGGTGGGAGGGGGATCGGGAGGGGGAACACATGTAAATCCATGGCTGATTCATGTCAATGTATGACAAAACCCACTACAATATTGTAAAGTGATTAGCCTCCAACTAATAAAAAAATAATAATAAAAAAAAAATTAAATCTGCAAAAAAAAAAAAGAGCTCTCCAAGACAAAAACTTAAGTATGAAGTTAATTATGGTGTGTGAAAGTTGCTTGGTAATGTTTTGTATATTGCTGTTAAATTGTTTATTTATAAAAAATAAGTGACCCATCTTAAAAAGAAGTTTGAGTATTGAAGTTTGAATGAAATTAACATCTCTTATCAGGAAACTGTCAAATGAAGCAAATGGTATTGAAGTACAGTAGAGCAGGAATTTTGACTGATACAGAGAACTCCCTGATAAAGCGTGAAGCAAGTCATTTAGGCAAGTGAGTGGTATAAATGTTTAAAGGGGACAGAGATTTGACTCATTAGATAGTTATATGAGAGTGGTAGCTAGAGTCTTGAATTTAGATGAGAGAGAAAACACTTGCTTTACAACAATATTTGAAGGAATAATCTACTAAGTTTGTAGCTTTTTGAGTGATGAAGGGAAATACTACTCAGTATAATGTGAGACAAACTGATGTCATACTGTTCTGATCAGAATTTTTTTGCAATTCTCAGATGTTTAAATTTAAAACAGTAGATTGTGACCTCTGAAACTTTTCTAAATGGAATAATACTTTTAATTTTCTTACTGTTTTATTTTTTTGAAATGTCTTAACCCCAAATGGCATTTCTCAATTAGATCATCCACTTTATTTTATTTGTATTTAATTGTTTGCATTTGACTTCTTGGAAAAATCACATTCACTTTCAAAGAATTTAATATTTTCTATTATTAAAAGTTAAATGTATTGTAGCTTTAGATAACAATTGGAAAATAGGCGAAAACTCCTCCAGAGGGTTCCTGAGCAGCTGTGGCAGTTAGGATGAAAAAAAAGAGAGACATGTAACTTCCATACATGTAGCTTCTTCTGTAGGTTCAAAATTGCTTATAAAACTTTAAAAAATTATAGATCTTTGATAGCCTATAGAACTTGTGAACCACAGCCTCTGGGTTGAGACTTGGTGTATGTATTTTTTAAAAAGCTCTTCAGGTATATTTAGCAAGAAATCTTTGCTCAAGACTGTGAACTCTTCTCCTAGATTAGAAGCTTGAAAGTGAACGTCACTCAGTCATGTCTGACTCTTTGTGACCCCATGGACTATATAGTCCATGGAAGTCTCCAGGCCAGAATACTGGAGTGGGTAATATTTCCCTTCTCCAGGGGATCTTCCCAAACCAGGGATCAAACCCAGGTCTCCCGCACTGCAGGCAGATTCTTTATTAGCTGAGCCACCAGGGAAGTTTAAGTACTTTTGATCTAGCGTTTATTAGGTGCTCAGTAGATTTTTTAATGAAGAGGATAATACTCATTTTACTAAATGTGTCTTCATTGGTTGGTAGACATTCTTCATAAATTACCTAAAAGGTAAAATAGGGTTAATATTTTGGCCATTGTTTTGAGACCAGTGGGATTAGTAGTCTACCTTTTATATGTAGTTTTAATAAAATATAAGCCTCTTTTTTCAGTTTAGGTTGGCTGTAAGGCTCAGTGGCAGTATGGAGGCTATGGGATAAACACGAGAACAGGAATTGAGGTGAATGGCAGGTCATTTGACCTCTCAGAATCTCTTTCTTTGTAAAATGGGCATACTGCCTGCTTTGTGAGGATTTTGCATAGTTTTGTTTAACTATTTATAGATAGTAGTGATTAATATTTGACTGTAAATGACTTGTGCTTATTATTTAAATGATAAACTACAAGGTTATTTATTTGCAACAATTTAATGTTGATTGGATGTTACGCAGCATTCCTATAATAAAGAGACATATTGCTTTCAGCTTGCACAGAAGATGGGATTTCCAGCCAGTATTGTGGATTCTGCAGCAGAAAACATGATCAAACTTTATGACCTTTTTCTGAAATATGATGCAACCATGGTAGAAATAAATCCAATGGTAGAGGATTCAGATGGAGCTGGTAAAGTATCTTCTTTCATCAAACATTGATTATCTATTTAGCCCCTATCATATGCTTCACTGAGGAAGTGAACTCATTCCTATGTAGAAGCTTGTTTTATAATGAAAAGAGTGAATTTTTAGGCAACAGTGAACATTTGAAAAGAATGAATGTGAACAAAGAGACACATTAAACAAACCCTTTATATATTTACACACAGAGGGATTAAAGCTGCACTGTATGGCAGCTAACAGTCACATGTGGCAGTTAAAATGAATTGAAATGATATAAGATTAAAATATTTCTCAGTTGCACTCGTTACATTTCAGGTGCTCTTTAGCCCCGTGTGGTTAGTGCATTAGCACACATACAGAACAATTTCATTCTTGCAGAAAGTTCTGCTGGGCAGTGTTGGATTAGAGTATTTAGCGAGGTAGTGGATAAATAGTTGTAGTTTGGGGGAATTAGCCATTTTAATCTCCCCAGGTTTCAGACTTCAGAGGCATGATTGTTTTTATACAAAAAGTATATTTTGATACTGGAATCCTTTTAATATTAGGGAAGAAAGGTTGGCTTATTACTTTGACAGCTTTCCTTTTATATGTGTTTAAAAGGTAAGTCAGATTTTGAATTATCATCCCTTCCCTGTATAGATATTCTAAAAATACAAGCTGCTTTATTGTAGCCTAAGTTTTTCTTGATATTTCACGTTAATTGCTTCTCTTGCTGTGATTTGTTAGATTTTGTTTCACATTTCTTTGGACATTTCTAATCTCCTTAAGCATTTGTAGAACTCTTTCACTTTTGTACTTCTAATGAGTTCTGTTTATTATTGTAGAAATCAATTTTTAGGTGGTCATTTATATGGTTGTATAAAGACAAAGGATTAAATTCTCTTGTGATTATAGAGGTAGTTTATAAAACTAAAATTAATTAAATTTTTTAAAGAGTGAGGCTGATACACATTTTAAAAATGAAATTTTAATAATTTGTGTGGGAGAATTAATCTATATAAAACTTTTTCCTTTTTTTTTTTAGGGAGGCAGTTCTTGACCTATTTATTCTTTTAGATTGGCATTACTTAACCTGTTGTGGGTCAAGGACAAATTTTAAGAAATGCAGTGAAAATTGTATGAAAGCAAGTAATAGTCACCAAGGAATCTGAACCAGTGTTCCCATGGGTGTGTGTGCATATGCACTGTAGAAGTCTAAACTTTCATGCGGTTTAGAAATTCTCAGATTCCTTAAAGCCTTTAGTCCTGCATTTGGTACTTGGATGTCAAATTACTAATTCCTATTGCTAGGCAACCTTTAGAATCTTTTTTTTTCATGTTTCAAAACGAGTCATGCTGGAATTTTATTGGAATTGTATCATCCCTATAAATTGTTGGGAAAAATTGACATCTTTGTAGAAGTCAGTTTTTCCAACTAGAAATACAGTTTTTTTCCATTTATATTTTTTTAAAATAAGGCATCTTTTGGAAGGTATTTCTTTTTAGACTTATTTTTAGAAATATATTTTTTGTTGCTATTTTGAATAGGATTTTTTCTGCCATTGTATTTTCTTACTGTTTATTGCTGCTCTGCAGAGACTTTTGATTTTGTTCTTCATTTGTTGATTTTAATTCTGTCCTTATATTTGTTTTCCTTAGTCTGTGAAAAATATCTCTACTGTGTTTCAGCTTGTCTCCCATGTTTTGGTTTGTTTTCAGTTTCTTCTTTCATAGTACTTAGTTTTGAATTTTGACCATACAAAAGAGACATTTTAAGTATACTTTGGTTTCCTACAGTAAAGTTTTTTCTTTTTTAAAAAATGTTTTCCCTCTATTTAACAAAAACATAGCAAATACTTTGTGTCAGGCACTGTTGTAAGAGTTTTTCAAATATAGACCCTGTAGTTCATTAGATGTTTATAACAGTTCTGTGAGGGTAGGTACTATTACTATCCTTACTTTATAGGGTAGGAGACTGAGTTATCAAGAGGTTTACCTGACTTACCCAGGGACACATGGCTAATGGTAGAGCTGGACTGCAGAATTTGTACTCTTACATATGACGCAGTTGTATGACAGGGATATTTTGGGTAGAGAGTAGTATATCAGCATTGGAGTAGTAAGGGATTAGCTGTTAGGGTAATCTTTTAGGCTGGGACTTTCTTGGTGGCTCAGTTGTAAAGAATTTGCCTACCAGTGCAGGAGATATGTGTGCTGTGTGCTCAGTCCAATTCTTTGTGACCCCACGGACTGTAGCCCACCAGGCTTTCCTATCCATGGGATTTCCCAGGCAAGAATACTGGAGTGGGTTGCCATTTCCTTCTCCAGTGGATCTTCTTGACCAAGGGATTGAACCTGCATCTCCTGAGTCTCCTGCATTGGCAGGCAGATTTTTTACCACTGAACCACCTGGGAGGCCAGGTTCAATTCCTGGGTCAGAAAGATCCCCTGGAGAAGGAAATGGCAATATACTCCACTATTCTTGCCTGGGAAATTACATGGACAGAGGAGCCTGACAGGCTGCAATCCCTGGGGTTGCATGACCTATTGACTAAACAGCAGCAGCCTTTTAGGCTAAGAAGCTTAGTAGTAGTCCAAACAGAAGGTAACAGAGGCAGTGGGAGTAGAGAGGAGAAGGGTTTATTTTACAGACGAGTTCAAGCTCAGGCTCTGGTAACACATCTACATTTCTCACAGTACCTTCTTATTATGTATTTTGAATGGAGGCTTTGGATCAGTGTACTCGGGGTAGTTCTAAACATCTACAGATTGATATGTTTTATTTATGAGGTACATATTGAGTTTTGAAAGTAATATTTTAAAAAATAGGAAATACAGATATTTGTCTGCTTTTGTACTAAGTTACCATATGACAAGATAGTATATACATTTGGGGAAATTATCATAGTATTCCTTTAAATAGTAGTTTAAGGACATTTTGAATAAGACTAAATTTCGAATTATTTCCTTTGTGCACAGTTCTTTTGGAACATATCTGCTGCAGAGAATTGAAGTATACCTATTAATTTGTACGGGTTTAATTCTTTGAATAATTTTAAGAGGCAAGCTTGTAGACTGTAGACTTACTTTCCTAGTAATGCTCTGAAAACTTAGGGTAATATAAAAATATACATATTTATTTGAATAGAATTGCTTAAATAGCTTGTCATACCATTGCTATCATTGGGGTTTCTGAGAGATCTTCCAGTGACTGCCCATCTTCCCTGCCTGAGTTCTAATTAAAATGGATCTGACAGCTAAATTACAATTAGACAGACTTAATAAATCTATTCACATATGAGGCTTTAACAGGGTAGTACTTTCAGGGATAGGCTATGCCTTGGGAATAGTAGTTGGAAATCCTTGTTCCCTGTGGGAAGCTTACTCCCAAAAGGAAGAAAGATTGAGCTAAATTATGCATGTCTGGTTTTATAATATCTAGATTAACTAGCCAGTTAATTTACTTCGTTTCCTCTGGGAAGAAGTAAGTAAAGAGACAGTGACGGGACAGATGTTACACTAAGTGAGCCCTTTGACTGTGAAAGGAAACATCCAGAGTGGGGGATTTGCTCACCTGCTCGCAAGCATTCCACGTATTTTCTTTACCCACTGAGCTCAGCCATTAAGCCTGTGATCTATCAGGATGGTTGTGGAAGTTTTGAGGGACAGCGATTAGCTGTCTGTGTGCATAGTCTTGTTCTGATTTTGAGGCTGTTATTCCAGTCCCAGCCGTGTTCCTTTGGATGTTATGGGAGCACCTATAGGTAGTTTGAATTTTTACCACCAGAAATTTCCAAAATGGGTCAAAACAGTATACCAGTATCAGCCGTTTAAGAAAGTGTTAGGCTTAATTCTGAAAATTTACTCTTTTCTGTTTCTGACTCCAGATTATGTCCAGTTGTCTATTGGAGTATCAGAAGTTCATGGGTAAGATTAGATTCAGTTCAGTTCAGTTCAGTCACTCAGTTGTGTCCGACTCTTTGCAACCCCATGAACCGTAACACGCCATCACCTGTCCCTGTCCATCACCAACTCCCGGAGTTTACCCAAACCCATGTCCATTGAGTCAGTGATGCCATCCAACCATCTCATCCTCTGTTGTCCCCTTCTCCTCCTGCCCTCAACCCTTCCCAACATCAGGGTCTTTTCAAATGAGTCAGCTCTTCGAATCAGGTGGCCAAAGTATTGTAGTTTCAGCTTCGACATTAGTCCTTCCAGTGAATATTCAGGATTTTCCTTTAGGATGGACTGGTTGGATCTCCTTGCAGTCCAAGGGACTCTCAAGAGTCTTCTCCAACACCACAGTTCAAAAGCATTAATTCTTCGGCACTCAGCTTTCTTTATAGTCCAACTCTCATATCCATACATGACTACTGGAGAACCATAGCCTTGACTAGACGGACCTTTATTGACAAAGTAATGTCTCTGCTTTTTAATATGCTGTCTAGGTTGGTCATAACTTTCCTTCCAAGAAGTAAGTGTCTTTTAATTTCATGGCTGCAGTCACTACCTGCAGTGATTTTGATTGCAGAGATTAGATTATGTAGCATTAAAATTCTCTGAAATACTTTAATAGTGAACTGCATAAAGACACACCTGAGACATAAGACACAAATGTGATAAAGTCCAAAGGACATAGAGAACTGAAGTCCCAAGTCAGATTCTTTTATCTGAGTTAGAAATTCAAAGAAATTAATGTTCTTGCTAATTTCTTGACTATTTTCATTGAACAAGAGGTTGTGAATACAGTTTAAATTCTTTCAGCCAGGGCAGTTTGGATTTTTTTTTCATAGGAACAGGTAGAGTTTCTCTGTAGTCTTAGAAGTTGCATTATTTGAATTTCAGATCTCTTATGGGCCTCAATTCTAATGGTGTACAAAAGGTTAATAATACATGTAAGTTTATCACAGCTTTGACCCTCCATTACCAAATTTGGGGGGAAAAAAAACAAACCCAGGCCATTCCCACTGCCAGGAACAGTGATCTCAGGCACAGTTATTTCTCAGAACCATGCACGTCATTTTATGAAGGGTCATGGCAGAAACTCAGGCTTCCCTGGTGGCTCAGACAGGAAAGAATCTGCCTGCAATGCGGAGAGACCTGGGTTCAATCTCTGGGTTGGGAAGATTCCCTGGAGGAGGGCATGGCAACCCACTCTGGTATCCATGCCTGGAAAATCCACATGGACAAAGGAACCTGGTTGGCTACAGTCCATGGGGTTGCAGAGAGTGGACACGACTAAGTGCTAAGCACAGCACAGCACATGGCAGAAACTCAGTGAAACCTGAATAAAGGAGAGTGGATTGATTTTAGTCTCACCAGGATGCCGGGTGATTATTTTACCTGTGGACTTTAAATCAGTTGAAAGAAATCTCTGAGCAGCAAATTAATTTTGGCCTAGTGATTTTGGCAATTAATTTGGCATTTGTGATTTCTAGGGGGAAAAACCAAATATGTACATCTCTTAAAAGCTTTCCCTCTTTTGAACACTATGAATTGGGTGTGGGCTCTGTTTACTGGTATTACACATACTCTTGCTTAGTTAGCAGAGTTGTCAGTGGCTGGTTCTACTGACTGTTACAGAGCTCAGGCCTAGGAAATGTGCTTCCTAGGTATTTCACCTCAGGTTGTTTTTATTGGAGAATCACCCTCAGCTGAGTGAACCTGTCTTGATCTTCTTGAGTCTGTATGCCTCGGAGGCCTACTAAGGATTAGTTACTTGGCCATGTCATCCTCATTAAAAAAAAAATAGATATACAGTTGATCATTGAAAAACATGCGTTTGAACTGTGAGGGTCCACTTATATGAAGATTTTTTTTTCCCAGTAACTAATACAACAGTACTACACAGTCTGTAGTTGGTTGAATCTATGGATGCAAAGCTGTAGATATGGAGGGCTGACTATAAAGTTATACGCAGATTTTTTTGCTGACGTATCTTGAGCACTTTTTGTGTTTACTGAAATATTCTTCTAAAACATTTACTTTGATGTTTGTAATCCTGGCATATATAGATATGCCACAATTTGTAAATTTGTAAGTGATTATGAAAATACAAGGGATCTGAATGAAGCATTACAGTCTAAGAAGCATACATATTATCATTCACCAGTGATTTCACATACTGTACTTTTCAGCTTAGATTTTCAGTATGGTTCATTTCATAGTTTTATTTTCTGCTGATATTTTTACCTAGTGCTTTATTATGAACATATTTTCCTTTAGGTCATTTTAAATGTGTTTAAAAATGCTGTTTCACAGTTCTCTGATAATTTAAAATTTGGGTCATCTTGGGTTTTGTTTCTTTTGACTGCTTTTCCTTTTTACTATTGCTTACGTTTTCCTGTTTCTTCGGAGATCTAGCAGTCTTTATACTGGACATTTTGGGAGGCTGAATTCTGTCTTCTTCTTCTGAAAGAATGCTTGGCTTTTGTTGTTAGTTAACTTGGCTGACTCCAAACTTTGTCTCTTGTTTTGGGCAGCAGCTGAAACTGCTTGGTTCTTTTCACCTCTGTCCGTTCAGGAGTAAGGAGAATGTTGTAGTTAGATTGGAGCAAGGAAGGGATAAAATACTGAAAGATGAAGTCAGACAATTAGCCTTCATAAGGACCATTTTGGTAGAATGCTGCAGGTAAAAGCCTGATTAGAGTGAATTTAAGAGAGAATGGCAGCAGGAAAACCTGGTACAGTGAGTTAAGCACAGGTATTGGCAGATAATGAGTACTTCAGGTTTTGTGGGCCATGTATAGTCTCAGTTGCTGCTGTTTTTCTCCTTCCTTTACCATTTTTCTTCTTTTTAACTTTTTATTCATAAAAATGTTAAACCCTTTGTTAGCTCACAGGCCATTAAAAAACCAGCACAGACTGAATCTGGCCTATGGACCATAGTTTGCTGACCCCAGGTTTAAACAGACAACTTTTTCTGTGAATAATGCTGTATAGGAAGAGGAGAGTAAGTGGGGAGGTAGCGGGTAAAAGAGTTTCTTCTTTCTATTAGGTGGGGAAGAGAATGGCTTTTTTTGCAAGCCAGTTTAATTTAGCCCATGGAAAAGTAGAGTGGAATTTATGGTGCTGGAAAAGCAGAATTGCTGTGACAGTGCCCTTGAGTTGGGACCCAGAACCCAAGCAATGGAGTTAACTAAGAGCATGGACTGTTATTTCTTGGTAATTAAAAAGAACATTAAATGCTTTTGAGATTTTTCTTTCTTCTTTATCTGTTGCTTAGGACAGATGTAGAAGCAGTAACTTTGATGGGATAGTTTTAAATTCTGACATATTCTTATTCAGGAGATAGTTTGAATCAGTTGTGAACATGAGTTGAAATACTTTCAGTAAGTAACAAAATGTGTTTTTCCCCTAAAGTAAAAAAACATTTGATTATTATATAGTGTTTTTTTTTTTTGTCTATCTTGAAATTAAAATCACTTTCTTTTTTTCCTTTAAAGTGCTGTGTATGGATGCAAAGATCAATTTTGATTCTAATTCAGCTTATCGTCAGAAGAAAATCTTTGACCTGCAGGACTGGACCCAGGAAGATGAAAGGGACAAATATGCAGCTAAGGCAGATCTCAACTACATTGGCCTTGATGGAAATATAGGCTGTCTAGGTACCATGTGTTCTTATGTTAGAGTTGGATTGGTTAATCTTATTTTCTTTATGTTGCTTATACACATCATTTTCCTCTCTTGATAGTGAACGGTGCTGGTTTGGCTATGGCTACAATGGATATAATAAAACTTCATGGAGGGACTCCAGCCAACTTTCTTGATGTTGGTGGTGGTGCCACAGTCCATCAAGTAACAGAAGCGTTTAAACTTATCACTTCAGATAAAAAGGTAAGGGCAGAACCTATGTTTTAGATTTGAATGGTAAGAAGTAACTTGATTAATTAGTAGAGTACATAGTCTTACTTGTTGAGCATACATTGGTCATTAATAAATGTTTGTTATTGATAGGGCTGTGTATTTTTTCTTGGTGTTAGATTCTAGAATTGTTTAATAAAATTGTTTTTTTAATTGCTCTTTCCCTTTGAGTCTATGGACTTATTTGCCATATTCAACTTTATAAAGACCATTAAACTAAAATGAGATACAAAATGTGCTTTGTTTCTTTAGTTTTATAATTATTTTTTAAAAAATAAATTTTATTAGAACTATATTCCTATTGCTTCCTTTGGCAAAAACTCTAAAAGCAGAGCATTATCTAATTACCTAACTGTTGACTACTTCTCTGAGCCACCAGGGAATCCCAATAATATGAACTAGAATTCTAATTATATTTCTAAGCATGGCTTTTTAGGCCTGTGTACAAGAATGGAGAAAAGCATATGAAGATTTCCTGTTCTGGGGCATTGGAGTTGGAAGCAGGCCAGGAGCCCAGGGTAACAATGTGGATAGCACTGAAGTAGCTGTATACATATGTCCCTTTGTATTGGACACTGTGCTTGGATTTAGGAACACATGGTTTTTTCCTTCAAGGCCTTTTATAGTGTGATGAGGCTGATGAATTGAATGTAGTGCTATAAAAGACAGAAGACAGAACTGATAAACTGGGAGAATCAAGAGTGGCCTCACTATCAGTGTGATAATGAAAGAATGCTGACCCAAATAAGCCCTGAGGTTTGGATGTGACATGTATTCAGGAGTGGCCACACTTTCTGAGTGCTTTGGAGGACCTGGTGTTTGTGAAAAGTTGGTAGAGTTGATGGGGAAAAATGAAGAGATGATAATGAGGACTAAGTTGGAGATCTTGCATCTAATGTTGTCTTACCACATGACCTGGGCTAGTCATGTTGCTAATGGCTATGCTTAACAGGAAACAAGTAAATGGCATCAGGAGGTCTTGTTAATGTGGAGCAGGAGAGAAGAAACTATGGATTAGGTGTTGGAATTACCCATGGAGGGGAAGGAATTTTGGTGGGTGGTGGACTGCCTGACTTCAGTGACGAGAGCTGCACGCAGAGAGTGCGGCTCTTCGGTCTGAAAATGTCTCCGTGGAGTTAACCTTCTCTAAGGCACAGGTGGGCTTCCCCAGGGGCTCAGCGGTAAAGGGTCTGCCTGCGATGCAGAAGCATAGGAGACGCAGGTCCGATCTCTGGGTCGGGAAGAGCCCCTGGAGAAGGAAATGGCAACCCAGTCCAGTATTCTTGTCTGGAGAATCCCATGGAAGAGAAGCTGGTGGGCTGTAGTCCCAGGGCCGCAAAGAATCAGACACGACTGAAGTGACTGAGCATACACACAAGGCACAGATATGAGTGTGTTCTTGAGAAGGAAGGAAAAATAGTCATTCCTTTAAAATTTTAACCTCCCCAAACATTTTATTGACAGGTACTGTCTATTTTGGTCAACATTTTTGGAGGAATCATGCGGTGTGACGTTATTGCACAGGGTATAGTCATGGCAGTAAAGGATTTGGAAATTAAAATACCTATTGTGGTACGGTTACAAGGTGAGTGTAAAAGGTATCTTGTAATTGTTTCACTAACTCTAAAAGTTAAAAGTTCATAATTAAACTTTTATTTAAACTTTTAAAAGTTCATGATTAAAAGTTCATAATTCCAAGGAGTTTAGTTCATTTAAATTTTAATTTTAAATAGCTGTATTTTTAAAATGAGAGTGTATAATAGAGAATTTTTTAAATGTGAGTTTAAAAAAAATCTAACATTGGGACAAAATTGTTGATAGTTTTGTTTGGTATAAGTTGATACATTATTTGCTATGCATTGTCTTGAGTTCTGACTTGTCTGAATTACCATTAATGTGATAAGGCAAAGTATTTTACAAGATAGCTCCAGATTTTTTACAGTATTTTCTTTGGTTTAGAAGCATTTGTATTAACTGACAGAAGTTGGTTGAAATTTTATATTTGTAGTATATTGTGACAAACATTTTAAATGATTTTGTGTATGTTTTTAAAGCATCTTTATATTTGCGTAAATCATTTCCAGGTACACGAGTTGATGATGCTAAGGCACTGATAGCAGACAGTGGACTTAAAATTCTTGCTTGTGATGACTTGGACGAAGCTGCTAAAATGGTAAACGGGTTATGTTGATTTAAGGAAAAATTCGCAGTGTCTGAAAGGTTTATAAGCATTTAGATTCTTAAGTGAACAGCTAATACTGCTAATAATTAGTTTTTCACTTAAATTCTGGGAGTATTGAATCCCATATACCTATCATATCCCATATCCCACATCCTAAACAGTTACCAACTCATGCCCAACCTTGTCTCATCTAATTTTTACCTACTTCCTTCCTTGCCCATGATTTTTTTGAAGCAAATCTCAGACACTGTATCTTTTCATACATACCATCATGTACCTATAAAAGACAAAAGTATTGATGATATAAAGGAATTATTGTTATTTATTTCAGATGGGCTAGTGGTATTGTTTATATTTTATAAAAAAGAATCGAGTCAGTGTTGAAACGTCTCTGATTTTCTTAAATATATTTTGCCTACGTTCTTTAGGATCAAAATAAATCTATGCTTGCAATTGGTTAATATATCACTAAATTTCTCCTTATAGATTCTCCCTGGGCCCCACCCCCCCTGCCTTGAAGTTTATTTGTTGAAGGAAAACAGGCTGTAGTCGTGTTTCCTATAGTCTGGATTTTAATGATTGTGTCTATGGGGTGTCATTTAACAGTTTTTTGACCAGAGGTGTGTTAATACATTCTTACCTGAGCATTATTTGCTGGAATGTTTCAGTATTAACTTACCTAACATATTGCTGGCCACAGGCATTAGTTTCTGCAAAAAATCCCCTGGTCAGTAATGTGTTAACAGGTTTCTTTGCTCCTATACTTCCTGTAAACTGGTAGTTCAGTCTATAGGCTTGATCGTATATGTATTTGATTTTGAGGAGTGGGGAGCAAGAATATTTTATTGGTGATTTTGTATAATTCCATAAAGAGGTATATAAATGTCAAGTAACTTACCAGATAATACTAGCAGTCCTTGACACTGATAACTTAGATGCAGCATTTTGTGCAAAAGTGGTGATTTTCTAATTCTGTGATTATTTGTTACATAGAATACATATAAAAAGTGAAACTTTCTTGTATCAGTTATTTTATTGTCATGGTGCACATTTTGCCTAGAAAAAGCTGGATACTTACTTGATTCTTTGCTTTTATTGATAAGTAAATTTTAAATGATTTTGCTTAGGTATTTAAAATATCTTTGAATTTGCATAAATTGTTTGAGGTATATGAGTTGATGATGCTAAGGCGCTGATAGTATCAGTGCCTCCATTATGGCCTATGAAAGTGACCCAGGCTTTTTTGTTTCTTAGTTTTTGTTTTTAGGTATGTGTTGTGTGTTACATGGCATGCATGCATACACATCCTATTTTGAACTCATGGATTTAAATACATTTGATGTGGTTCAGTGCATTTTAGTTATTTTTACTGATTCTTAGATTATCCCATCTGTGGTCAGTGAGAACCTCTTCACGTTGACTCCTGAGTCCTCATGTGTCCTATGATGTGCTTTCTGGTGTAATGAGATGTTTCAGGCTCATCTTTACATTTCTTCCTGCTGACGTGAAATCAGCCAAATGGTGTTTAGACATCACAATTTAAACCTTAAGGGTACTTATAACTTTTGGGTTGTTCATGGTTTCTAGATTTTTTTAAGTTACAAGTCTAGAAAAATATGTGTTTTTTAAAGAGAGAAATACATGAGTACATACTGATATTTCCAAATCCAGGAGTACAGTTTGTTTTTTTTTCTTATGTGATATGTTTCTTTGGTTTTTTTCTTCCATTCCATGCTAACAAATATTTATTGCTTTGTCCCTCAATACAAACAAAACAGTTTTAGAATAATAATACCAACAATATATCTACTGAAAGTAGAGTAGTAGATTGGTATCTACAGTTCTTTTTGTCCTTTGAAGTATTTCCCAAGATTTGCTGGATTCTAAAATTCCTGTGAAATAGTTCTTTGTTTTATCCCACTCTGAAGCAGTTTCATTTCTTTATTTTAAAGTAATTGCTTAATTTTTTTTGTTATAAATATTTGCATGGTTCCAAAGTCAAACTATAAAACAAGATATATTCAGAGAAGCTAGCCTTTATACCTACTACTGTTTCTTCCTTCCCCATAGGTAATCAGTTGTTTTTTTTTAAATTAGAATTTCTTAGTTCATCTTTCCACTTTCTTTAAAAACACAAATACGGTATGTATGTGTATGCATATATCTCTTCACTTTCCCACATTACATCATGGTAACATGTATTTTACCTCATTTCTTTCATTTAACACTATATCTTTCTTGGTGAATACTCTGTAGTGGAAACAGAGATGTTTCTAAATGAGAACTTTTGATTCTTTATCTGAGGTTCACAGACAGTTCATTGTGAACTTACACACAATCCTGAGTTTAAATTAAGATTTTGAGTAAGGGTCTGGTAGGGAGAAAGTGTTTCAGAAAGCCTGTTTTGACATTGAGATGTGGAATCAGTTGCTGAAGGAAAGAGTGAGGGATAGTAGGAGTCTGGCTAGTTCAGTAATTAGATATGAGGTGAGGTGAAGGGAATGAATAGGTTAGAACTTTTCTCTGAAAATATGCTTGTTTGCAGTGAGAGCCTGAATTAGGAAAAGCTTTTTGGACATGGAGAGGAAGGATAAGTATCAGTAGGAGCTTGATCAAATAGACTGTGAAAGATCAAAGTGAACAGTTGATTTAAGTTGTGTCTGTAGTGTTTTTCTAGTGAGTAGGAGGTTATGGAAGTCATGACAGTATTAATAATATGATAATGTTAGCAATTGCTACCATTTATAATTTATTATGCATGCAATGCTAAGCCTTTTTTTCCCCTTCCCCTATTACCTGACTTAATATAAGTTTGGTGATACAATATCCACTTTTATAGATAAAGAAACAAAAGCTCGATACATTAATCTTATTTAGGATCACATGTTGTAAACATCAGAGTGGGATCTGAACTCAAGGTGTTTAACTTTAAAACTTCTCTTAACTATTCTGCTGGAGAGGAGAGAAGCTAAATTTGTTGTTTTGTTTTAGATATGTTTAATTTGTACATTTTGTATGGTACCAGCTGAATATTCTCAGATAGATTTATATAGAGAACATTGGAATTCAGGTTGATAATTGTTAACTTACTGACAGAAAGTAAAATAGTAACTTCCAGATTCAGGCTCCTATCCCAACATTCTAGGATTATATACATTTTTTAAAATAAGCTTTTATTTATTTATTTATGGCCATGCTATGTGGCTTGCAGGATCTTAGTTCCCTGACCAGGGATTGAACTTGGGCCCTGGCAGTGAAAGTCCTGACCACTGAACCAGCAGGGAATTCCCCAAACTTTTATTTAAATGTGCTTTGCCATTGTGTAGTATCCAGCTAAGACAGTCACTATTTCTATCGTCAGAGATAGTTAAGGGCAGCAGATGGAAATAGACATTTCTCCAAAGAAGATATACAGATTGATGGCTAACATGCACATGAAAAATTGCTCAACATCGTTAATTATTAGAGAAATGCAAAACTACAATGAGGTGTTACCTCACACCAGTCAGAATGGCCATCACTAAAAAGTCTATAAATAACAAATGCTGAAGAAGCTGTGGAGAGAAGGGAAACGTCCCACAGTTTTTCTGTGGGAATGTAAATTGGTGAAATCACTATGGAAAACGGTATGGAGGTTCCTCAAAAAACTAAAAATAGAACTACTATATGATCCAGCAGTCCTACTCTTGGATATATCTGTATCCAAGAAAACTGTAATTGGAAAAGATAAATGCACCTCTGTGTTCATAGCAGCAAATTTACAGTAGCCAAGACATGGAAGCAACCTAAATGTCCATCAACACATGAATGGATAAAGAAGATGTAGTGTATATATATATACAGACACATATATTCAATTGAATACTACTCAGCCATAAAAAAGAATGAAATAATGCCATTTGCAGCAACATGGATGGATCTAGAGATCATCATACTAAGTGAAGTAAGTCAGAAAGAGAAAGACAAATACCATATGATATCACTTGTATGTGGAGTTTAAAATATGACACAAATGAACTTATTTACAAAAGAGAAACAGACACAGATATAGAAAACAAGCTTAGGGTTACCGAAGGTGAAAGGGAGGGGGAGAGGAATAAATTAAGAATTTGGGATTAATATATATCCACTATTACATATAAAATAGATAAAAAGCAAGGACCTGCTGTATCGCACAGGGAACTATATTCAATATCTATAAGGGAAAAGAATCTATATATGAATAACTGAATCACTTTGCTGTATACCTGAAACTAACACAACTAAACTTCAATTTAAAAAGAGGAAAAAAAAAAGATAGATATAATTTGGGCAGTGAAAAAGAGGCAGATACATATATCAGATGTGTATCTATTTAATACCTTCTGACTTTATGTATGTGAATACCATCTAGTGTGGGTTATAACATGCAGGTTATGAAGTGTTAGACTTGACTGTCCTCCTAGGAGTGGCAAGGGCTTCCCCTGTGGCACTAGTGGTAAAGAACCCGCCTGTCAGCACAGGAGAGGTAAGAGATACGGGATCGACCCCTGGGTTGGGAAGATCCCCTGGAAGAGGGCACAGCAGCCCACTCCAGTATTCTTGCTTAGAGAATCCCACAGATGGGGGAGCCTGGCGGGCTGTAGTCCATAGGGTCGCAAAGCACTGGACATGACTGAAGCAACCTAGCATGGATGCATGCCAGAGTGGCAGATGCTTCTGAGACTGTGAAGTGGTTTATAACAATGTCAGAATAGCCCAGATGTTTTAAATGAAAAGGATTGAAGATGTAGTTAATTTCACATTGACCAATTGTCCTGATTCTGTGTTTTTGTGAAAATAGAGACAAGATTGTTTTCTTTTCCTTTCAGGTTGTGAAGCTTTCTGAGATAGTGACCTTAGCCAAGCAAGCCCAGGTGGATGTGAAATTTCAGTTGCCAATCTGATCTGAGAATCCAGTGGTTGACTGAGGATGTTAAATGTGTTATAATTGTTAAAAATACTGTGTTCTGTATTACCATTGTTCCTTTTCTCTTCAGCGTGTGAAGCTTTGTAATTACCACCTAGGCATAAAAACTAAAAGCGTTTGGTCTGCGTCTTATTTCTGTTCGAAAGGGGCTGTTTGTATAAAGAATGTGTAAGGCAGTTATCTAGTTTGTTCTGTTGCAGCTTTTTTTCACTTTTACAGAATATGCCAGTTTATTATTGCAGTATGCCAGTTTATTATTGTTGGGTACAATATTCTTCATTGATAAGAGTCTTATGAATAAAATAAATATGAAGATAAAGCTTTATTCTTTAGTGTTAGAAATGTATTATATCTCATAAACTAGTTTCATCAGTAGAGCAATGTATTAAACAATGTTTTATATAAGAAGTGTTTATCTTCAGCACCAAATACTTAACTAAGTATATCAGTCACTATTTATAAGCAGATCTTTCAAGCACTCCCCAGAATATTTTAAGTATTTCGGTGAAGTAACTTCTGAATTATTTGAGCATTATTTTAATCATTACAATACTCTTGATAACTTCTAGTTGTCATGATGATACTGTTATTGAGAGCCTGTAAGTTTGTATCAAATAAGGGTATATTTACTAAGGACTTGGCAGACAAAATTAACAATGTCAATTTAAATTAATAAAGATCTCCCAATGTGATTTGGATTAATTTTTTTTTCCTTTTTAAGTAAACACAGTAAAAAGTGATGTGTTTATCATTGCACTAAATACCTCTGAGGAACTGATTTGTAGATTGTGTACTAGGCATGATAATTGCATATAATAAAGCAATCTAAAGATATTTCACTTGAATTCCACTGTTTATGTGTGTGCCATCTGGTACTCTTCTTCAGAAAAGCCTACACTGTCCTTTGTGTCCCAGTTCGTATATGTGTGTGTGTGTGAAGATGTCAGTCTTCATTGCATAGAACAGTTGATAATTTAACTATTAACAGGTTAAGTGCCATGGGAGGAAATATCAGCCAAGGAGTAGACTATATATGTAAACATCCTGGTGAATTTGAGAACTGCCTGTTTCTTGAAATGTGATCACACACACACACTCTGAGGGGCAGCATAGCAGAATGATTATGAGCACAGAATTTGAAAGTAGACTGTCTGGTTTGAATCTTGCTTCCACTCCTTACTAGCTATATAAGCTGATCCAAGTTTTTAAATTTCAGTGTACCTCAGTTTCCTTAGCCCCTTTCTCATCCTCGCTAGAATTACTTAGTGGGAAGAGGGAGATAGAGGCAGAGAGAGGGAGGGAAGGCAATTATATAGACAGAACACATGAAATATTCACACATTCAAACCACCTATATCATATGATCTGTCTTCCCAGTCTATACATTAAAAAGACTAAATCAGAGCCATTAAACCATTTAGAATTTTGATAAAGTTATAATTAAAAGTCCAAAGCCTTTAGCTTTTAATTTAAAAAAAGTAATTTCAAAGAGTGCCAGCCAGTGATTAGCTCAGAAAATACTGGCGTTTGTTTTGGTTGGGTCTAGTCAGGAATTAAAGACTGCTCATATTTCAGAGAGGATGTAAAACAGGCTCTGTTTTTTCTTATCTGTTCTTGCATAATAGATCATCCCCAAACTAGTGATTTTCAAATAACAAAATTGTAACCTCACAGTTTGTATGTGTCAGAAATTTGGAAGTAGTTTAACTGGGTGGTGGTCCTGGTGATACACTTACTTGCAGGTTTGAGGACTGCTTCCACGATGGCCTCCATGCATGGCTGCTGGCCTCCACTTCTCCCCGTGTGGCCTGTCCTCGGGGCTGCTTGAGGGTCCTTGTGACAGGGAAGCTGGCCGCCTCCAGAGCATGTGATCCAAGGGAACAAGAAGGAAGTCGCACTGCCTCTTGTGTCCTCACTTCAGATATTTGTGTTCTGATCTCATTGTCCCTTCTGTGACACACTATTAGAAATGAATCAGTAAGTTCAGGGACTTCCCTCGTGGTCCAGTGGCTAAGGCTAAGTGGCTAAGACTCCGAGCTCCCAACACAGGGGCCCCAGGTTCCGTCCCTGGTCAGGGAACTAGATCCCATGCACAGCTAAGTTCTCATGCCGCACGCAACTAAAGGTCTCGCATGTTGCAACAAAGATTAAAAGATTCTGGGTGCTGCAACTAACACCCAGCACAGCTAAATAAATAAATATTTTTTTTTTAAAAAAGACCTTAAGAAAAAAAGAATCACTAAGTTCAGTCTAAAAGAAGAATTCATCTCCATTCTTGAAGAGGGAAGTATCAAGGAGTTTGTTGATGTATTTTAAAACCATCACAATGTGTGCTGGGTACTGAAAGCAAACCGTGCATGCTGAGTTCAGAGATCCGTAGCTGCTCGGACTGAGATGTAATGAGCATCTAGGATCTTTTTTTTTTGATAGGTAAGAAGTGGATTTATTCAGAGAGAAACACTCCACAGACAGTGTGGGCCATCACAGAAGGCGAGTGCGGCCAGCATCTAGGATCTTGGAAGAGTTCTGAGGCTTGGAGCACTGAGAGGAGAGTGTCTTGGCTGATAATGTTCAAACCCTGCTTGAATGGTGGACCCTGATAGTACCAGTTACAGCTGAGAAGTCAGGTAACAGGACAAAAACTAGTGGAATTGAAGCAGCAGACTATAACTAATCTTGGTAAGAATGATTATAATGTAATGGTGGGGGAAGAGGTCAGTTCTGTGGAGAAGAGAGAGTGGAAATAACTGACTGGTGCATACTTACACACCCTCCTTCCTCATCCCCCAAGCACACATACAGGCACACCTTGGAGATAATGTGGGTTTGGTTCTAGAATACTGCAATAAAGCCAATATCCAATAAAGGGAGTCATACCAATTTTTTGTTTTCCCAAGATATCTGTATACTGTGGTTTGTTAGGTGTGCAATAACATTATGTCTAAAAACCAACGTACATACCTTCATTTAAAAAAACTTTTATTGCAAGGACTTCCCTGGCAGTCCAGCGGGTAAGACTTCACCTTGCATTTCAGGGGTGTGGGTTTGATCTGAAACTCCAATACTTTGGCCACCTGATGCGAAGAGCTGACTCATATGGAAAGACCCTGATGCTGGGAAAGATTGAGGGCAGGAAGAGAAGGGGGTGACAGAGGATGAGATGGATGGCATCACCGACTCAATGGACATGGGTTTGGGTGGACTCCGGGAGTTGGTGATGGACAGGGAGGCTTGGCGTGCTGTGGTTCATGGGGTCGCAAAGAGTCGGACATGACTGAGCGACTGAACTGAACTGGGGAGCTAAGATTCCACATGCCTTGTGGCCAAAAAGCCAAAACATAAAACAGAAGCAATATTGCAACAAATTCAATAAGGACTTTAAAAAGGGTCCACATCAAAAAATTATTAAAAATAACAAATTTTTATTGCTAAAAATACCATTATCTGAGCCCTCCATGAGTCATATTAGTGACTTCAGAGATCACTGATCACAGATCATAAAGACAAATATAATAAAAATGAAAGAGTTCAAAATATTGCAAGAAATCCATAATGTGACACAGAGATTCTAAGGGAGCAAATGCTGTTGGAAAAATGGCACCCATAGACATGGATGCCACAAACCTTAAATTTGTAAAAATCATGGAATCTGCAAAACACAATGAAGTCAAGTATAGTTAAGTGTGGTGCGCTTGTGAAACTCATGAATGTTCTCTACTCAGTCTTGAGGCTTCCTTCCCTACAGCCCTACTTGCTTCATGTGGAAAGAAAACCTACCTTAATATTTGAATTCTCTAAGTTACAATTGAGTAGATCCATTTAAACTTCTCCAGTTTCTACATAGAATATAGCCAATTTTGACTATTATATCAACTTTACAGCTACAGAACCTGGGGCAGTAGGCTTGATAGATACTGGTGCTTTGTAGCAGATGGGATTTTAAAAACCCACACATGTTAATGGAGAAAGGAAGCAAAAACCAAAAAGAAGCGACAGTCACAACTCCAGCAGGACATTGAAGCTATTCACATTTTAGTGAGTTGTTTAGTGAGTCCTTTGCCTGGCAGAGAATTCTAATTAAAGAAAAGTTAAAAATGATGGGCGTAAATGTTAGCAAGCTGTGGGTCAGTTGTGCAGGGCTGTAATTAGAATCATGCTCTTTGGTCATGTTGAAATGTAAAGGGTGAGAGAAGACCTTTGGAAAAATCAATTTTCAGGTGTATGTAATTTATCGTGTGGTGATAACCTGAAATGAGATTTAGAAGTTTGCAATATAAAATGAGGAAGGATGAAAAGTTGGGAAATCAATTTTTGTTTCACGTTTGATTTAAAACGAAGTGGTGAACGTGAAGGGATAAAATAATGATGTAAAAGTTGATGTCTGAGTCACGGCCTGGAGAGTAGAGAACTGGTCTGTGAAGGTTTTTCTGCAGTGATGCAGGAGACACGAGAGAAAGCTGAGTGTCCTTGGGCACCAGGATTTGACCTACTGTCTGAATGTTCACGCAATCGAGGTTGTGGCGGTCTTTGTTCTCCTTCTCAAACAGCCAGCTCCAAAAGCATCTTTTTCTGCTCTGAAAACTTTGAAGGACTTTCTTACTCAGAACTTTGCCTCATAAGGAGGTAAGATCATGGACAACTCTTTGATTCCTCACACATAACCAGCTTCTTTCCATTTTTCACTTCTTTCAGTTGTGTGTGTACATTGCTGTGTTCCTGCGTCTTGCCTGCCCTTCAAGTAGTCAAGGGGAGCCACCCCCATTTGCCTTCCTTCACTTGACGATTCCACTGCTGGTGCAGCGGCAGCAAACTGCTCAGTAAGCAGCCATCTTGGAAACACAAGACTGCTAGCGTCCACCTTGTCAGGATCCGGTCAGTCAGCGTCCTGTAGGAGTCTGATGTGTCCTCCACAGTCACCTCCACTGTTGGTCATTCCTTCATTAGAGTTTATTCCTTTCACTTTAGCCTTTCGGTTCT